AGCAAAATATTATTATTTAATAATATTTAATACCTATTATTATGTATTGGCTCTTGTATCAGCTCTCACAACTTCCAAATTTGTTCTATATTAGTATTGAGTGGGTACATTAGCCTTTTATTATATTATATTTATTATATTTTATTATTATGTTAAATATTCTGGTGTTTTAAGATTTTTAAAATTTCGAAAACTTGTTTTGTATTATGTTTAATTTGTATACAAATTTGGTGATTCATATACCTAAATACTAAACAATTTTGATTGGGTTGTTTATCGTATTTTTTACTTAGTGGTAAAACACAAAAAAAAAAAGAAGTATAAAGTAATAATTATATTTTGTATGTTTTAAATTAATATTTATGATAAATTTATTTACCCTTACACGGTAGACTTTTGATTGTACATTTGAATTATTTACTCAACTAATTGGGGTCAAATAATTATTGTATTGCGCAATTGTGTATTTTATAAAATAACCTAAAAATAAAAAAAAAAAAATATTTATATAAACAAATTTGTAATTTATGTATGTGGATATATTTTGCTTGCATTATTATAAACATTATTGTTTATTAATTTAATTTTTAGATTTAGTTCCCTCCATCTCTCATCAATAAATCTGGATATGTCACTAGTTTCTAATGAATATGGATTGAACCAAATATTTTGAATTATAATACAAAAATTATTAAATTTTATTATTTACTTTTAGGATAAGTATGTACTAACATTTTATAGAATTCAAATATTAAATTCTGTCTTGTTCGAATTAATTTTCCGAATAATAAAGCATTTTACATTTGCAGTAAAACTTCCATATGAGGATCATCGAAAGGACTGGAAATAATGACTGTTACATAGAGGTGACAGTTAGCAAAAGTTTTTCTGTATTTTAATTTTAATATAATTTCTATACATTTTCAACTAAGGTTTTGTTAGGGTTTATAATATTATTTCTCTGTATCTATATTATACTTTATTTGTATTTCTAAATTTTGAAATCAGCATATAGATATTAGTTAGAATAAAATCATATTTTATGTTTAGTTATATATTTTTTATTTTATACACATAATAGTTCATAAATTATTGTGTTAAATTTATAAACTATCAAACTTAATCCTATTAGCCATTAATGGCATGTTCCTTTAAATTTCAGTATCCTTTCAAAAAATATTGGCTTTAATTAAAACAAATTCAACACAACGATAATATACTTTTTAGTTAATCTAAAACTAATATAACTTATGAGTTTTATTTTTACTATTATTTTTTTTTACAAAAATATGATTGTACAGAGTAGTTAAATGACTACATGTTTTAGGTATCTATAACATTATTGATTTTTCTGTCTGTTTCAATAATTTTGGCTAAAAGATTTGTGCCAATCAAAAACATGCTAAGTTTCTATTATGTTTGTCTAGATGAAATATTGGAGAGTTTTTAAAAGCTGTTTATACTTTTTTTGAATAATAGGAAATATGATACCTCTGATATGAGTATTTGTTTTTTATGCCCCTACAGTACACAATAATAAATGTATTGCCTCACCACTCTTGTTATTGCTCAAACATACAAATAAATTATATATTACTATAATAAAAATTTAAAAATTATTAAAATAAAACGAAAAGAATATAAATAGGTACCTATCATAATTATTATAAATTAAGAGGCCAAAATTCAGCAATATCTTGTAGGATAAATTTTCCAAGTTGTGTTCTCCAAATTAATTTTGCCAAGTACGATTCTAGAAAATTTCTTTTGATTCCACATTGATTTTTTTAGTTACCCATTTAGCAGAACCCCATGTTCAGTCAAAATAAAATTTGTAATAGCATATTTATGCTGCTTATTTTCAAACAAATGTGTATGTTTACAGAACTGTTATTACTTATATGTTTAAATTAACGATAATTTCAGATATTATATTCATAGTTTGTTGAGAGGTACCTACATGATTTTTTTTTGAAAAATAGTTGTTAAATGTCCTAGTAAATTCGGTTTCTTTATTACTCATTAAACATGCAAAAAAGTAACTTTCCTCAAGTCTTTTGGAGGTTGAAGTTTAAACCAGAATTATCAAGTGTGTTATAATTTATAGTTAAAGTTTAATTTATTATAAAATATTTTTTGGAATTTAAACGTAACAAATGGATAGGTGCGTTATAAAAAAATATTTTAGGAAGGTTTAAGGTTGTACAGTTCTATATTTTTATAAAAAAAAAAAGTGGCATCATTTCAGTTGAAGGATAATTTATTTTTCATTAAAAATGTCAATGTTTTATAACATTCATTTTAGATTCTAAGTGAAGCTAGCAATGTATTGTTTTTACAATGATGTTTATTTATATATATATATTTTTTTTTTTGTGAACAACTTTTCTACCAGCAATTTTGCTTCAATTTACAATGAAAGCACCTTTTCTAAAAGTACATTTGATTAGGAAGGTACTTTATGAAGGTTGTTTTTTGATTTTCTCAAAAGTCCCAATAAATGGAAAACCTGGAAAAATTTGAAAATAGGTACAATAAATTAAATAAATATTATTAAAGAAAATATATAATGCATGTTATTATTTTACCATAAATAACATATTGTTATATTGTTGACAAAGTAATATTATCAACAATGGTAAATTGTTGCTTACATATATATATTAAATAATCAATAACAGAGGCTGCACTTATTCCTTGCATTAATCTAAGACAGCTATTTAGCTTTTTAGATAACATTATTTCATATTATTGTGATAATAATACGGACTCTAGACTATGTGATATCCGTTATAATTTTCTAAAAGCAAAAAAAACCACAAAAAATGACAATAATAATAAAATTATGTATACCTACTATTTCTAGTAGTAAAATAAAAATAAAACTAAAATAGTATTTATCTTCCTCATTGATAGAAACCATTTTTGAAACTATTAAAAATCTACTTTCGTTATGATTTTCATGAAATTTCCCTGGGAGGGGGGGAGGAGAGTTGAACCCCTAAAACATTCCTTTGTTCACGTGCCTACTAATGGATATTTTGCACAATGGGTGGGCTACTGTTATAATAGATCAAAAGTTGAGAAGATAATGTCGAAATTTAATGTATATCTGTACGCAACAGTTAATTATTGCTTATGAAAAGCGATTCTGAGCAAAGTTCCGTTATACATGTTTTGAAAGACCATAATAGTTACAATTTGAAAATATTAAATTTATATTTCTTAAATTATTCAGGGTTTTCCCTTTTATTATACAAACCCTTGGAAAATTACTTCCTTAAAGTATCATTCCAGTCAAATTTATTTTTTGTGTTTTGATCCTCTATAAAAGTTATTGTATTTGACGGAAAGTGTAGTGGTTAGGTAGAAATTTAAGAATTAAATCATAATTAACAAAATTTAAAAAAAAGAGACAAATTTGTAAATAAGATAGTAACTGTTCCTCAGATTTTTATTTTTTTTAATATTTGTAACTTTTTTTTGTAATAGATTTTATTATTTGTGGTTAAACACTTCATTTTAGTTAATAAATTACACAATTGTGAGTGTCTTATTGAGTAATAAATAATCCAATTTCGCGAAAATAATTTAGATGTATATAGAATATATTTAAAAAAGATATTGAAAAATTTTTTTTTTTTTTTATCAATTTATTAAATTAAAATGTTAAGTAAAATACAATTTATAATGTATACATTTTTTTTTAAATTTAATTTGTATAATATTTTAATTGGATTAATTAGTATTTAGTTCTACTAAGTGCATTATAATACAAAGAATTCATAAATTAATATGAGTTTTTCTCAAGAAGTGTAAATGGTGTTTGCATGTTCAACATTTTATCTAAATTTGATTGCATCATATTATAAAATAGATATTTATCATTTATTTAAAAACCATTTTGAAATTTATGTTTTATATACATAATTATTTTGTACTTACCTACTTATGTCATGTATTAACTCTTTATTATTAACCCCTATTCTAACTCAGCAATGCATATCAATTCTCATGTTTTATATTTATAAAAATCAGACTATTCCGTAAACTATTTTTTTTATATGTTCAATAATTTCAGAAACAAAAAAAAAGTTACAGGTGTGATTAAATTTTAAAATAATATAATTATTTTTGAGTATTATGTTAGTAATTTGATTTTGCTGTGTTAGTGTATCTTCTTAAATGCTAATAATTAGTTTACCATTTTTTGATATTAATATTTTTTTATAGTTGTACCTTGTACCTAAATCTTTTTATTAAATAAAACAAAATTTGAGCTATAGTTACTCCAAATAAAATATTTATTTTGTCAATATCCTAATAATATTAAATGGAAATTATGTAGGCACTTATTAATAAAATGGTAAATCACCTTTATTTAATCACCTAGTTTATACATTTCAATTGTTATAAGTAAAAACACCTCTAAGAAATGTGACTTCATTATATTATTAACAATTGTATTATTGAATAACCAAACTAATTGTTGCTTCCAAATTTTACTCAAAATATTTCTTACTTAGTACAAATGAACTAGATGTTTTATTTTTAATGTAGTTTCTTGTAATTAAGTTACTTAATATTTGTGTGATAAGAATGATGCTTTTATCAATTTTTTTAAATTTATTGTTTTATGGATAATACCTATTTTATTTAATTTTCATATTAACTAGGTATTTAATAAGTACAAAATAATTCAATGTATTGAACAGTTTCTTTAAGTTCTTAAATTTTTCTGGATTACGAGTAAATACTCTTTAAACTATCCCATGTTTATTTGATTCTTTGTTTAAATTTTATTTTGTTTTAAAAAAATATTTATTATATTTTATGCATAGATATTTGTTGTAAACACATTAGAGAAATATAGTTTAATTAATATCTATTAACTTAATTATTATTAATTATTGTACACAGATACCTACATAAAACTTATTTTGTTATAGAAATAATTTTAATTTTTTTAGGTTTAATTATATGATAGATATATATTTTTCGCTAACATGTGTATGCCGAAAGAGGAAAAGTTATAACGGTTATGTTTTTAAATGATAGTCGTAAGCGTATAGCTTTTCCCCTTTTAGTGTATTCATTCGAAATATGTAATTTGTCAAGGAGTATAATATAATAATATAAGTTACTTAGATAATAAAATTTAAAAATATATTAAATATTATCTATTATTTTATTTGATAATTAATTTAATTTTTTTTTATTTGTTCTAGGAAATAAATCCAAAAATAGTTAAAAAGATTAAATAAAACAATGTCAGACAACGAGACCAATGAAGATCTGCTAAATAGCAGTATTTAGTTGGTTTAAGAGACTATGGATTCATATGAGTTGTTTGGAGAGGATGTGGGTGGAAACATGTTGGAAGGCTTATCTGAATTGGGAGGAGATAATTTCACAGATGTGGCAGGCCGTGGAAGTCAACCCCCCGCAAATGCAGGTTATTCTCAATCTCAGCCATATCAATTGCCCGGAGAAATGCACGGCCATCAAGGAGAGTCTCCATTACAAAAACTTGCATCTTTTGGACCTCCAGGAGGTGCAGGGCCAGGGGCTCCAGATTATAATCCTGGAAATCATATAGATCATTATTCTAATCACTCTGGATCAGCTTATGGAGCGAGTAGGGTTTCTTCGGGTTTAAGACCCAATTTAGGACAATCTGGACCGCCACAGTATTCACCTTATACAGATGCTGCAGCAGGCATGTACAGTACTACAGACCAAGCTGCATTACAAGCTTGGTCCAATTATCCCGCACCTGGTATTAGTAGGCATTATCCACATATAGCTCAACCATCTTATAGACAGCATATGAGCTATCAACAACAACCCAATCAAGAAAATCAACAGAAGCCTGGTCAGTATGTATCTATGATGACTTCTCATCAAGTTCCATCTAGTGTTTATTCTCGTAGTCAACAACAACCAATGGCACCTTATCAAAATATGATGTATTCAAATACTTCACCTGGGTATTCTGCATATGGTCATCAACAAAATACTACCACTGTTTCTTCACGAATACCACCGCATCACATTCAACAATATCCACAGCAGCAAATGCAGATGCCTGAAATTCCTAGTCCTCAAACTCCGTCAAACTACAACCATTTACAATCGCAAATGACCTCTCATCCACCTTTTTCACAACAACCACAGCCACCTCAACAGCAGCAATCTCAACCTCAACAACAAATACCACAAAGATCACTGGGTATTGATGTGCCGAGTAATCCGTCTTATGGACCACCCAGTGGACAGACCCAAAGTAAACCTCATACTTCTCAAGGAGGTAGTCCTCAACCACCATATCGAGCTCAGTTTCCTCAACTGTCTCCTCAGATTTCACCCCGACCTCAAATGTCGCCTAGACCTCAGATGTCTCCTGTCATGTCCCCAGCAAAACCAACAACACATTCACCACACCCTCATTCCGCTCAATCTAATATGTCCCCTAGGCCTACAGCTACAGCATTAACTCCAAAAACAGTGGCTACTTCCAGTCCTTCTCCATACGCTCAACAGAGTACTCTTCAACAACTTGAACAAATGGTTATGCCAACTGTCAATACTAATTCATCAACAGATTATCCAGCATATAGAAGTGGCTTACAAGCTAATACTTCCCCACATTGGCAGTCCACACCAAGACCTCCTCATAATGGAGGACTAAGTTCTCAAAATCTTGACCAAGGATTACCAGTATATTCTGCTATGTCATCTGAAGATAACCAAAATTTGGATTCTTCTAAATCACAATCAAATTCAAATTCTAGTAGTAATTTGAACATGAATAATATGCCTAATATGGGTGAATCAAATTCTATTCCAAGTCAAAATAATCTCGATTATCCTCCCAATACACAAAATAAATACACAATTTTAGAATCGCAACACATTCCCGTTTCACATTCTGCAGATATGCCTCCAACATTGGAACCACAAACAAGCATACCACCAGTACAACAACAACAACAATTACAACCAGCTAATCAGAACCCACCAACGATAGAACACATGGGATCTAATAACATATTGACTTCTTCCAGTATTGGATATAATGACTCTATGTCACAATATCAAAATGGTAATAAAATGGAAGAAATTATCAACAATCAACCACCTGATGCACCTCAACAGATACAACATTCTCAAACTTCAATGTATGATCCTAGAGGACCTCCTCCTCCAGGAATGTATCATTCTTCACCGATTAGCCACCAACAAGAGATGGCTGCATTACAACAGCAGCTACAAGAATTATATTGTATGCCACCTTCTGGGCCTGATCATCAATTAAGGGTATGAACAATTTTTAGTTTAGTAAATTGAATTACCATATATTAAACTATTAAGATAATTGTTCATTACAAAAAATATAACTGAACTTGTATTTTAATTGTAGACTTAATAAAATCAAGTAAGTGTATGGTAGATTATTTTTTTTTTTAAATAATAGATTAATCACATCCAAGAAAGAATATCCATTTTACAACAACATGAAGCCAATGACCAATGTATGGGTGGTGTACATTGTCCAGTTGTGAATCCTATGTATCAACCTGCAATCATAGAACCTGCAGTACCGGTGGTATAAAATTAATATATTAATAATAATTATAACAAATTGCTTATTATTAAATAATTATTATAGGTATCAGGACGTGGAAGAGGGAGAGGTCGTGGAAGAGGTAGGGGTAGTACCTCTGGTGAAGGCCGAGGAACTCCCAGACCTAGAAAAAGTAGAAAAAAGGCTCAAGAACCAGAGCAAATTCCATTTTCACCCCCATTATTACAACCAGAAATGCCAACACATTCTATGGTGCCACAGGAATTGATGCCAATGCATATAAACATGAGCCCTGGTATGGCTCAACCACATCATATGATGCCCTCTGGATTGCCCCATATAGGAATGCCGCCAAACCCAATGCAACATGAACATATGCCACAATCCTCTATGTATAACAATTCAGAACCAGCATATCATCATCATATGCAGTCTTTAGGATGTCCACCACAACATATGCCACAACAACCACCACCTCAACAGTTACAACAGCTGTCAGTGCAACAACCTATTTTGCCTTGCACTTCTGAGTCACTAGTTTCTAATTCTGTACCTTATTCAGATCCTATAATGCCTCCTGTTCATCTCGAACAACCAATTGAAGAATTGCCTCCTGAACAAGAACAACTACAACAACAGCAAGAGCAACAATTGCACCAACAACAAATCCAGGAACAATCACCACTTATGCCTCAATCTCCAGTTGAATCTGAATCACAAGCACGTTCTGAATCTCCTTTAATAGAACAATTGAACCAATCATCACCCCCCCAATCTGAAATACAGTCACCATTAGCTCAGGAAGAAGTTATAAAAGATTCAGAACCTGCAGACCTGCAATCGCCACCTCAAAGTCCAAGTGTAGAAAAATCATTAGTATCAATGGAAGTTGACAATTCATCAGTTGCATCTCATCAATCTAGATCCTTATCACCAGCAGAACTAAATGAACCACAATCTCTTGAAAGAGACTGTTGGTCTGGTAGTGAGCATGATCCTCCTCCACCTACACTGACTGCCGAAGTTTCATCTCCAACATCACCAAAAGCTGAAAATGAAACTGGTGAAACTAGCATTTTCAATTTTACTGAAGATGAAGAACCTCCCCCACCGCTTCATTCTTTACCTGATGGATCTCCTAGAAAAATAAAAGGAGGTTCAAGGTATTTAATATAATCAAATATATTTTACTGGTTTCTGTTTTGCTTAGTGATAATAATGCTGGATTTATACACATTCCATAAAAATATCCATCAACTTTGAAAAAAAGTACTTAATATAAGCAAAAATGGTAGAGATTATAAAAGTGCCCTCATCAAAGGGATTAAATGCATACAATAAAAGTATTCTAACACTTCAAAAGTGATTAACTTAACAATTATTTTTTATTTGTATAATAGTGCAATTTTATATAAAATCATTTTAACAGAAAATTGTATATAATATGATAAAGCAATTAGAGCAATCAAACCCCTCTACCCTTTTTGCTTAGTTAAAATGTTTAAGGCACTTTTATAGAGCTTTTTAAAGGGTGCCTGAACATCCAGTCCCTAATAATAAATTTTATTTTATTTTATCTACATTTTTAGAGGAACAAAAAAATCGTCAAAATCAAAAAAGCCCAAAACTGTTAAAGTTCCTAAAACTAAAGTAAAAGATCGAAAGAAAAAAGAAACCAATTCAGATGTTGAACTAGATGAAACTCCACTAAAACCTAAAAGGTGAAATACTGAGTGTATCAATATAATTAAAATATTTTACCATGTTCAGTTATTATTAGTGATAAATATACTAAACAAAATAATATTTATTTCAATGTTTAAATTTGTAATAATTTATAATTACAAATATATTATTATTATTTATTTCATATTTACCAAAATATTTAAAATTTTTCAAAAATTATATTATTTGTCATATGAATAAAGTGTAATGCTTGGTTGTTATGTAAATGGCAACTGTGTATTAAAATTCTAGTATTTTATAAATTTTATAAACTAATGTATTATTTAGACCATCTAAGAAGAAAAAGAAGAAAATGTCTCCATCCGAAAATAAAGTGCCTGAAGAACCTGTACTAGAAGATACTATAAATAATATTGAAGTTCCACAAGAGGATGAAATTGAACCTACTGCTGATGATGAATTGGAAACCAAAATAGACGATAACACAGAAAAAGAGTTGGATGATTCTGAACTAGATACAAATGCAATAAAGGATGAAAAAGAAATTACAGTTGATGAATCATTAGCAGATGTTGAATCACTACCTGAAAGTCAACCAGAGCAATCTGTCAAATCTTCGAAATCATCTAAACGTAGTTCTGACCGGAAGTCTAAAAGTCGTAGCAGCCGTGCTTCAAAGTATTTATAAAACACATTTTTAAGCTTTATTTTTTTTATTTTAGTTTTATTTAATTAAACAATATATAATTTATTATCTAAAATAAGTTCATATTACAACTTTTGAATCAACTATTCTTGTTATATTGTTGGAATTGCTATTGTAAATAATAATATTTAATATATGTATGTACATTGTATATAATGTATCAATATTGTTTTTACTATTTTTATTGTTCAATATTTTGTAGGCGAAAGAAACCTAAACCTTTGGTTCCCAATGAATCAGAAAATGATGAGCCAAATGTTACACCACCTCCATCACCTGAGGGTGATGATAATGTGAGTATTTTTTTATCTTTTATTTGATTATACAGTATACTACTTAATGAAATTACTGATGTATTTTTTTTTCATTGTCATATTATGAAATAAATATATATTTTTTTCAATTTATCAAATTATTGTATATTCAAACTTCGAAATATTTGTATTTGTATTAATTTTTATTATTTGTTAATGTATATGGTTATAACATTTTTTATTCTTTATATTATAAATTATTACAAACATAAGAAGCTCATGATAATAATAATTTTATTTTTAAATTAATTAATATGTAATAAATATTATTTATATTTAGAAACGAAGATCTGGAAGACACACACAAAGAAAGAAGTATGTTGATGACATTATGTTGGCTATGTCTGATGATGATTCTCGTAAATCATCGTCACCACAACGTTCTAAATCTGCAGTTTCGGGCTCTGCCAATGAAAGTAAACAAACAGCTCAAAATAAAAATGCTAATGCTAGTAATTCTGTTAAGCCTAATATGGTATATATAGTAAGTAATATTAATTTTTTTTGAACATGAGTTGTTTTTAATTATTTTTAAATTGCTTATTTTTAGAATGTTACTGATGAAGATTCAATGGTTGTTCAACATATATTGGCTGTTCGGAAAGGTACAAGAGAAGCAGTTAATTTAAATCAAGAAGATAAGAATACTCTCAGTGATAGTGAAGTTGATATTAAAAAAGAAACCGAGGAAGTAAAAGAAGAAAAAATTATGGACAAAAATGATGAAACCCTAGAAAAAACATCTGATGACAAATTTGAAGAAAATTTAAATTTAAAACTGGAGGAGAAATTGATTTCAGTTAAACTAGAACAAGAATCTGAGAAAAGTGATGAAGTTGTACCACAAAATTTAGAAGAAGCCGAAGGGAATTCTAAGAAGACTATTGAATTGGATGAATATTTTGTAAAATACAGGAATTTTTCATACCTTCATTGTGAATGGAAAACAGAAGAAGAATTAACAAAAGGCGACAAAAGAATTGCTGCTAAATTAAAACGATTTAAACAAAAAATGGCTAACAATACCAACATTTTTGAAAATGTAAGTTATAATATAATAATATGTGTGGTGGTACTTATAATATTTTAATTTTAGCTTGAAGAAGAACCATTCAATCCAGATTATATTGAAGTAGATCGTGTTTTGGATGTGTCTGAGCAATTGGAAGAACCAAATGCAGATAAACCAACTAAATATTATTTGGTTAAATGGCGATCACTGCAATATGAAGATAGTACATGGGAATTAGAACAAGATGTTGATCCAGCAAAAATTGAAGTTTTTGAAAGGATCAGGCATACACCTCCAAAAGATCAATGGAAGGTAAATGTAAAATTATATATTTCATATTTCATACATGATTTAAAAGAGTTAATATGATGACCGTAGCCATGCTAATATGAATATTTATATAATTTTATAAATATTAAACATATTGATGATATTATGACATGTCTGATTATTGCTTAAATGTAAGTCTTTTGAAGAAAATGTATTATTTGATAACTGATATTAACATAATTTTACTTTTGAATTATTCATTTAACTTTTTTATCAAATGTACATGTTATCAATAGTGTTTTCTTTATGTTACAGCCTAAAAAGAAGCCATCACCTAATGACTGGGTAAAATTAGATAAATCTCCTGTTTATAAAAGTAACAATACACTTAGGGAATATCAATTAGAAGGTCTTAATTGGCTACTTTTTTCTTGGTATAATGGGTAAGTTTAACAGGTTTTTAAATTTAAAAATTTTTTTTTTTAATCTCAGTTATTTATATGTAATTGTGTTTTCACATGATAGGCGTAATTGTATCTTGGCAGACGAAATGGGTCTTGGTAAAACTATACAGTCATTGACATTTATTCATGCTGTTCATCAATATGGTGTGCGTGGTCCATTTTTAGTTATAGCACCATTATCAACTATACCAAATTGGCAAAGAGAATTTGAAGGATGGACTGATTTAAATGTAATTGTTTACCATGGATCGTAAGTATTTTGACTATTAATTTCTTTTTTAACAACATTACATATTAAGACATATCTCAAATGTTGATTAACATAATCAAGACAATATTTAGATGAATTATGTTTTCAACTTGCATAACTCTTAAAATTATAGATCTCACAGTAGAAATATGGTACAACAGTATGAGATGTACTACCGAAATGAAAAAGGCGCTATAATTAAAGATGTATCCAAATTTGATGTTCTGATAACAACATTTGAGACTATCATTTCTGATTGTATGGAACTTCGTGATATTAGTTGGAGATTATGTGTGATTGATGAAGCACATCGTCTTAAAAACAGAAATTGCAAACTGTTAGAAGGATTACGTGCATTAAGTCTTGTAGGTTTTTTTTTACCTCAATGTCATATTCTGGCATTTATTTAACTTTTTTATTTTTATCCTTTTTAGCCATATTTTAAATATTAACTTTTTTATTTTGTAGGAACACAGAGTTTTGTTATCAGGAACACCACTTCAAAATAATGTAAATGAGTTATTTTCATTACTTAATTTCCTTGAACCAACCCAATTTTCAAGTTGTGAAGAATTCTTGCAAGAATTTGGGGCATTAAAATCTGAAACTGAAGTTCAAAAACTTCAATTATTATTAAAACCAATGATGTTAAGGCGATTAAAAGAAGATGTTGAAAAATCAATTGCTCCTAAAGAAGAAACTGTTGTTGAAGTGGAATTGACAAATATCCAAAAAAAATACTACAGAGGAATATTAGAGAAAAATTTTTCATTCTTATCAAAGGGCACAACTTCTGCCAATGTACCAAATTTAATGAATACAATGATGGAATTAAGAAAATGTTGTATTCATCCTTATTTATTAAACGGTATTATTTGATGTTCTAATAAATTATTTGAATTCAATTTTATACATTTTCTTAATCCTAAATTTTAATTATTTTTAGGAGCTGAAGATCAAATTCAATATGATTACCGCAATTTAAATGGAGACGATCCAGATGTTTATTATAAAGCTTTAATTCATTCATCTGGTAAAATGGTATTAATTGATAAATTGTTACCAAAACTTAAGGTCAATGGTCACAGAGTATTGATTTTTAGTCAGATGGTTCGATGTTTAGATATTATTGAAGATTATTTAGTGTATAGAAAGTAAGTTTTAAATTTTTTATACTCAATGCAACATTTTAAGTTGTATATTTACTAAAATTGTAATTCTGTTTAAGGTACCCATTTGAGAGATTAGATGGTAGGATACGAGGAAATTTACGTCAAGCAGCAATTGATCGGTTTTGTAAACCTGATTCTGATCGATTTGTATTTTTATTATGTACTAAAGCTGGAGGGTTGGGTATTAATTTGACAGCTGCTGATACTGTTATTATTTATGATAGTGATTGGAATCCACAAAATGATCTTCAGGTAACAATTTAAACTATATTTGCATCAGTTTTCTAAACATATACTAGTAGATATGTTTTATATTGATTATTGATTTATTATAAATAAAGGCTCAAGCACGTTGTCACAGAATAGGACAACAAAAAATGGTTAAAGTATATAGACTTCTATGCCGCAACACATACGAAAGAGAAATGTTTAATAAGGCATCATTAAAACTTGGATTGGACAAAGCTATTCTTCAAAGTATGAACACTGCACAAGGAAAAGATCTGAATAATAAGCAACTTTCCAAAAAAGAAATTGAAGATTTATTGAAGAAAGGTTGATCATAATATTTTAATATATAATCTATTGTTTTTATTTTGTTTATTAAATATTATTTAAAATTAAAGGAGCATACGGTGCTGTTATGGAAGAGGATAATGCTGGAGATAAATTTTGTGAAGAAGATATTGATCAAATTCTTCAACGCAGGACTCAAATTATTACACTTGAGAGTGAAAAAGGTTCAACTTTTTCAAAAGCTAGTTTTGCATCTAGTGGTATTAGACAAGACATTGATATTGATGATCCTGATTTTTGGAAGAAATGGGCCAGGAAAGCTGATATTGATACATCAGAAGGAGGAGATCAAGTATATTACACATTCATTCCATTATTGAATTAAAATTATTTATTTTAAAATTAATTATTGTCTTATTCATAGAATGATTTAGTCATATCAGAACCTCGAAGACGAACCCAAATAAAACGTTATGGGCATGATGAAGCTGTCATGGATATGTCGGAACTAGAATCATCTGGTTCTGCTGACAGTGATGTAGATAATAGTTTAGGAGTTGGACGAGGAAGAGGTTAGTTTTATATATTTATACTTGTTCAATTATGTCTTAACTTAATTTTAGTTAATGGAAAAATATATTCAGTGTTATAATTATTCAGTATAAAATTGTAAGAGAAACATGTACATTTTGGCCTCTTAACTATTTTCTTGATTTATTTACTAATTATTTTACTTATAAAAAACAATTTTTGTAAATTATTATGATTTTTAATAATAGGTCGCAGGACTAGAAAAAGCAAAAAATTTCGAACAAAATTTATACCTGACGATTATGTTCCTAAAGAGGGAGAAGTTATTTATGGATGTTGGACCAGAAGTGAATGTTTTAAGGTGGAAAGAGGAATTCTTACTTTTGGGTTTGTATTTTAAATTTACCTATTTTTATTACTCAATATTATAATATTGTTATTTATATTTACATATTTCATATTATTATATAGTTGGAGCCGTTGGCCAGAAATCATTCAACATAATGATTTTCGTGAAGGTTGGAAAGAGAGTCATGTAGAAGACCTTGCTCGTATTGTTGTAAGTATTTTAATGTACATTTTTTGTCTACTATAAATTAATTTCTTAAATACTTATATAATTTAAAACATTTTTTTTTAGATTTTATACTGTTTGCGATTTTATCGAGGTGATGAAAAAATAAGGTCTTTTATATGGGATCTTATTACTCCTGACAATATTTCAACTGATGATTCCCCTTCTCATGGTGGTATGTATTAAATTAATAAGTATTAAACAATTAAATACATTTTTATTTGATTCCGAGAAAGAAGTTTTTAGACTTAAAACAAGTTAAATTTTTTATATTCATACACTTATGTAATTTGGAATATAAAAAAAAGAGGGAAAACAATTACATTGGACACAATTATAAATAAATTCCAAAAAGCTGTAATGTTGACAATTTTTAAATAATATATATATTTTTTTTAATTTTTCCATTTTTCCCATTCATTATGAAAACCCCTAAGAAAATAACAAAAAATATTCGTTCACTTAAAACCCTTGTCTAATAAACTTTCTGGAAAAGTGCTACACTTGAAAATCTGATGTATTATATAAATATAAGATTAAACAAAACAAAACAACAATAAACTAATAGTACCATACAGTTTAAAAATAAATAAAACTTATAAATAATATTGGTGGGACAGCTAGACAATAAGAATTAAGGATGTCTCCCCACACTCTTGAATTTTTATCAAATAATGAAACTGGGAATCGGTCAAACCATCTGTCACAAGGCACAGAAGTTAAATAAGGTTGGATATTACATGTGTTTTGGGATCCATCATGATCACTTATCCCAAATTGTTGCATATCATGTAGCACTCACCACAGTTTACTCATAAGTCCTGTGATTTAATAGTTAAATTATATATTGTACTCTTTTTAATACATGTAGAATTGAATTATTCTCGTAATAAGTTTTTAGTTTTTAGTAATGATTAATTGTTGGATACAGATATAAATTAAATTCTCCTCTATATCTTATATTTTCAATTTCCCATCCACAACAGTGGTGGCCACCTGTATTAGCTCTTTTTTTTTTTTTTTTTTGAACTGCAACAATTTTCCAGAACTTAATGAATTCAAACTCAAGTAAAGTAATATAAAGAAAAAATGGATTGGTCAACTTAGTATCCCCCCCTGCTCGCCGCTGAATCCATTTTTAATTATAATCAAAATATTTTTAAAAAACTTGATAATATATGTTATATTTTTATCATTAAAAACTACATATGTATTTTAAAAAAAAAATTTATCTTTGACTGTATGAAAACCAAGTAAAATCTTTGGTAAAATGTAATACAATCACATAAAATGTTTGTAAGATGACTATCATAACAATCATTCATAATTAAAAATGACAGCCATAACATTGGTATAGTAATTATTAAAAAATTAATTTTTCTAGGTCAAAGTTCTCGTGGATCTAAAAAATATCGAAAAATTAAACAAAAAGATTTTAACTCTACTCAATTAATAGATGAAGAACATTGGAGTAGAAATAACAAATATGATGGAGATTTGTTTTTAGAAAGCAATTACCGTAAACACCTTAGTCGTCATGCAAACAAGTTAGTACTTCTAATTTGTATATTATTTGAATTAATTGTTATAATTATTGAATTTTATATTTCAGAGTTCTGCTACGAATCCGTATGTTATACTATATTAAGAGTGATATAGTTGGTGAGTTTGCTCAACAAGTTAATGATGGAGTTCATGTCAGGTCAGTATTATTTTACATAAATTATTTTAAAATTCAATTAAAATGGTTGTTATAATATTTTTCAAGAACAGTAACTATTAATTTCAAATCATTCATTTATTTATTGAAATTAATAGATTTCATAATATAGAGTTTAAAATATTTAAAATTATGAATAACGTTATTTGAATTTTAGTGGATTACCAATTAACACGCCAATTTGTGATTTGACGCCTGCACCTTGGTGGGATCGAGATGCTGACCGGTCACTTTTAGTTGGCACATATAAACATGGTTTTGAATCATATAATCAAATGAGAAGTGATCCAGCTTTGAGTTTCCTTGCCAAATGTGGTCCACCAACTCTGTAAATATTAGTTTGGTTTTTATTATAATACAATTTTGGAATGTTTTAGGGAACTTTGTTTGTAATTTTATTTAGGTTTATCAAAAAAAAAATTTAAAGAATATGTTCTTATTTTTAATTATTATCTATAATCTTTATCCAATATAGAAAATATACATACATATTAAACATATTATGATGCTCAAGGTAACAATTATTTAATGTTTGAATAATTGGTGGTATATATTATTTTTATGTTTAATATTAATAATTATAAAATATATATCTTCTCTATTCTTTTATTCTTAATAAGTAATTTTTGAACTAAAGTTGATAAAATCTTGGTTATTTGTGATTTAGAAAATAATAAAATGAGTATACGTTTGTAAAAAATATTTTTTTGTTACAACCCAGTATTTTAACTGAACCAGTTTTATTATACATACTTTTAATTATATATTTTAAATATATTAGAGAGGAAAAAGAAACTGTCATTGCAAAATTCAACGATATTGAAGAAAGTGCTGAACTACCATTAACCAACTCTGAGGAAGTTTCATCTGAACCATCAACTCCTTTAGAATCAGAAGACAATGCTGGAAGTGCAATCATAGCACCACCAACATCATCTGTTACAGATGAATATGTATGGCCATCAATTGGTGATCTTAACAACAGGGTGAGACGATTAATAAGTACTTGCCAAAGAAACTTCAAAAAAGAAGAACAAAAGTTGGTGCAAAAAGCTAAGGTTAGTATTATTATTCAATCATAATAAATTGTATTTAGACAAACATTTTTCTAGTCAAGATTTACCGATTAAAATATTCTATTTAGGGAACTATTCTATCTTATATCAAATTTAAAAATTTGTTTAAGTGTAATCAAGCATTTATGCCTTAAATATTTAGACAATAACCCTAGATATGCTGGCTAAGAAAATGTTCTATTTATTTATTTTTAATTTTTTTGTTAAGTAAAATATTCAAAATTTAAAGGTTAAAATAGGTTTACTATTTTTATTACTACTGTAAACTCTGGAACTCCAAAATTGCTATTTGTTTCTATGCAGGATGTGACCATGTATAAATATGATCTCGGGTCGCCCAGATCTTTGATGGATACCATCACTTCATCACAGGCATTGCCGGTAAATCTTTTTGTGTGTGTCTTGTGAATATTCTATATTACTTATATTATTTGTTTTCGTTTTATTTGATTTTCATTTGAACCATTCATTCAGCATGACACATAGATTAAAATATTTTGAAATATTTGTTTTGTGTTTCATTATAATTTGTTGATCAGTCACCAGTTAATTATGTTTAATTTTTTTAGAACTTTTTTTTTTTTATTATTTTTATTTTTGTAAGTATATGTACTGCATTTTAAATAAGAAGACAATATAAGGATAAAATATTATATCAATAGTAAATCCATGATCTACTATTTTAATAGTAGTGTGTTTATTTTTAAAATAAAGTCCTTGCGGTTGTTGGTTTTGGTGCAGGTTTTTTTTTTCATGAAGTAAGAAGATAGAAAATTAATCTTTACATTTTTATTATTAAAATATCCTCATTAAAATTTTTTGGTCAACTGTCATGCACCTATATACTTAAATTAAGTTATTATTTATAACTATATACATTTAAAAACAAAACTGTATTAAAATTGTTCAGGAGACACTGTAGTAAAATATGTTTGAATATAATTCTAGTGTATGTGGTCACCCTACTTTTGATGTTATTCACTTTCATTGTAACTTTATCAAAGCATAATTCCAAGGAACCAAAGTTAATACTTTGAATAAATTTACTTAAAAGAAAACATGATTTAAAATCTGTGAACCATAATACTTATCAAATAAGTACGATTTGGGTTATATGAAGGCATAAATGTCTGTATAAATATTATGTTTTTGAGTTGATTTCGTGTGTGAATGATGTGGTAGTATTATTGATATGGCCTTGTGTGTTGTTGGATTAATTTTTGTTTTGTAAATATACATACATGTATATAATATTTCTATATTGAAAATATATTGAATATATTGATCAGTTCTAAAAAGTAATTTAAATTTAAAGTAATCTAAAAAAGAATTTAATTTAAATACAATTTCAATTAAATGTATAGATATGTCTATTTAAAAAATTTTTACCTTATTAAAATTCACAAATAAATCTTTAAAACATATACATTTTAATTTTAACCCTTGGAATATTTCATTAATTTTTGTTAAAAATATATATTTAATACCTATTTATTTTTACCACAACGATTATATGTATTTGTGTATGTGTGTGTTAATGATAGTTGACTGATAATATGATTTATTTTTTTTTTCATTTATTATTTATAAAACAATTTCTTTACAGTTTATGTTAAGACAGACATTTATTATAAACTATCTTTTTAAATAGTAGGTATGTTATTAGTCTAAAATGAACCCCTCCTTCATAAGCCATAACCAAAAATTAAATTATGTTAAACATATTCTACATTTCACAAAATTAATTTAAAAAAAAAAGATTAATTGCTACCTTCCTACTTTATGAATTCTTTTATATTCTTTTTTTTATTTATTATTATTTTTACCTAGACATTTAATGTATTTAGAAAGCTTTTTACACATGTAGTTGGGCGGCTAACACTATTATTATTATTTTTTTTTTTAACTTCAATTTGTATTGAGCAGTTAAGCTATATTTAATAGTTGTTCAATAGATATCTGTAGATGAATTGTTTAAGCTAAAATATAATAATGTTATGTTTTATTTGAAATTTTCTTTAAAATATAATATTATAGTTTAGTAGATATGTTGACGTAGAATATGTTTAGTTGCATGGATGTTTGTGTGTTCGTAGCTAGGAGAATCAACGTGCGCAGCGACGTCAGGTACAGCCCAATTATCAGGAGACGTTGCCAGCCTCCTTGGTACGGGACAGCCCGGATGGGACTGGCAACAACTGGCCATGTATCTTTGGGTTCGTATCTGAGTTCATCAAATTTATTTACTGGTCAACAAATAAAATGGATTTGCACTATACTAATACTAATAATATTATGGAATGGACTTAATTTAATTTGCTTTTTAATAATTAATATTGAAAAATTGTAAATTTAATGAAATTATTTACTTAAAAAATAATATTAGCCACATACCTAGTAATAATAGAAGAAATATATCATTAAAAAAATATTTGAAATTCACCTAATTTTTTGCTTTAAATTTCATTGGTCAATAAATTTTATTTGATTGACAATTTAATCATTTACAAACTTAATATAAGCTTAGTTACGATTTTATTAAATTGAAAATTGATTTGTAATTTAATTTTTATTTGAATATTAATTCTTATTTAACTTTTTTATCAATATGATTTACTTAAACTCATAAAGCAATAAAATATTTTATTATTGTATGTATTACAATGCAGTTTTAAATAAATTTATTTATTTAAAAACATTGTTCAATAGTATTTCTATTTTTTTATTTATATTAGTTTTAGTATCAGTTTTGGGTATCTATTATTTTATTGTAAGTTTATCACATGTTTATTAATCATTAGCATACAAGTAAAAGTGTCGAATATCAAATATTCAGAGTAATCATAAAAACTATTAAGTGAAACATTTGGTGGTGAACTATTCAGTAATTTAAGAGTAAGATTAACATATGAACAATTGTGTAGTGAGAAAATAAAGAAATTAATTAAATATTTAACATTTTGTTTAGTACCTACTAATAAAACTTATTATGCAATGTGTGAGATCTTGTGGATTGATCACATTCTCATTAACTGATACTTAAAACAAAAATAAAATTAACAAGTTACTATTATGTAACTATTAAGATATTCCATTTTTTTTTTTTTTTTTTTTGTTCAATAATTATTGTTTAAGTTATTGAGAATGAAGTAAAAAATGAATTATCTTTTTATTTTGTATATATAACAGAAAGTATAATGCAATCTCGTTGACAAAAATTATTAATTTGGTGATCATAATACAATTATTATGATGTTGTATATTTAAAAAAATTACTATCCATAAATCGTTGATTCATCTATTACTGAATATTTATCTTTGGCATGGGCATTATAGCATGATTAATTATGTGCTATAAAATATGTGCTTGTAAATTAATTAAAACTATTGTATGTATTTTCTATTTGCATTTAGTTTAATATATATACAGAGTGATTTTTTTTTTATCATAAACCAGCTATTTTCCAGGATGATCAAAAAAAAAAAAAAATTGAAATAGAAATCAAATTCACTTAAAATCTACAGAGAACATTTCTGATTTATGTTTAAAAAAGTCACCCTGGATGTATACATACTTTATGTGTATTTTCTTAATATGGTTATAATTATTACTTAATATTTGATATTTAATTAACTGTTCAAAAGTTAAAATATTCTTATATGGTACACAATTAATACCAAATAGTACAATTTTATTTTTATATAGCCATTAGGGCTTATTATACTTAAAATCCACAAAAATTACTTAAAAAATATATAACTTAACTATTAACTTATTAACTATAATATACACAGTAATTTATATTAAATAAAATAATTCTTATTCAAACAAAAATGAGTTTGTAAGGGGGGTAAGGGCCTTTAAATCCTTATATTATTTTTGTTTTTTAAATATTACTTTTTAGGATTGGTCTCACCAAAGTAAACGTTGATTTTTAAACTGAGCTTATAAGATAATCGACCAATTTGGTCGAGTATCAGCCATTTTTTGTGAATTTTAAGGGAAATAAGTTCTAAAACTTTGTAATTACTATCAAAAACTTGCATATTATGCATATTTGAATATTATGCATTATTTCTAGTTTTAAATTTTGAACTACTATATTTATTGTTTTTTTTTTCAAGCTATAATAATTTAAAATTTAAATATCATTTTCAAATAACTAATACATTTTAATTAAATTTATTTTAGTTTTGTATGTAAACTATTTGATATTGAATAGAAATATACCAATTATTTGGTGATTAGTACTAAAAATATATATATTAAAAAAAAAGAAAATTCTAGAATATTTTATGTAATATCTAATTTATAAATTATATTTCTTTTTCTAGTGAGTAGTTAACTAGTTGTAAGTTTTCAATGTTCTTATGTTGCTTTTTTCAGTCTGTTTTGTTTGTTTGGATATTTATTTAACAAATTTAATTTCTGGTATCTGATACTTTCATATATTAATATTTTCATAATGGAGTGAGTATTTGCAGTATTTATGTGTGTGATGGAAATGAAAAGTTGGTTTTGATATTTTATATTTTTACCAGAATTTTGTTCTCCTTGCATGTCTAAAGGCATTATATATATTTTTTGTATTGCATTGGAATATATATCATTTCTCTAATGCTAAAATTGTATTTATGAAACATTTATTTAGAACATTGTATCAGTGTTGTTAATGCTATTTTGACTACTGTGTAAGGTTATTTAAAATGCGTTATGCTTGCTTTTGTGTAAAAATTGCTTTTTTAAACTATTATTTATTATTTCAACAGAGCATGAGCATAATGTACAATAGCTTAATTTTATTAAAACTTCATTAACTAAAATAACTACTATCAATAAATTACTAATGATTATTAAATGAATATTTTGAATAAACTTGAATTTATTCACAAGTTAAGATATTCAATTGAAAATTTTGGTATTTCTATTTTACAATATTAAAAGAATATAAATTAATTGTAACCATTTTTATTTTGTTTTACACAGAAGGTTGAAAGGCGAGAAAAATATGAACAGTTTGTGAGAGAACGCGAACGCCAAAGACTCGAAATAAGTCAAAAAAAATGGACACGGAAAGAAGAGCAAGAATTTTATAGAGCCGTTACTACATATGGTGTTGATTATGATAGGTATCCTACTATATTTTTAAATGTACAGGTGGACTTTTTGTTTTCTTAGTTTTTCATATAACTACACTGAAAAACAAGAATGTAAAATGACTTGTATTATTTATGTTTGCATATTGTGATTATAAATAATGAAAAATTGTGTGTATTAATAAATTATCTTATTATTTCTTTAGAGTGTCGAAGACATATAATTGGACTAAATTTAAAAGTGTTGCTAGATTGGAAAAGAAATATGATGATACATTGACTGAATATTTCCGCTCATTTTATGCTATGTGTAAACGTTTATGTGGTCAGTCATTAACAGAGGAAGAAGGTACTACAAAATATTAACATGAATTTTGATTATTTATCATGACCAACTATTGTTTGTTTTTAAATATTTCAAAATAATTTTCAGAACTCTGTGATTTTCCTATGGAAATGATAAATGAAGAAAGAGCTCGAAGAGCTCTTGACCGTATTAATTTAATTATTAAAATAAGAGAAGAAACACTCAATCATCCATGTCTTGATGAACGTTTAAAATCTTGTCAAGTATCTGCAGATGTACCTGATTGGTGGCAGCCAGGAAAACATGATAAAGATCTGCTTATTGGAGTTTCCAAGTAATTAGTTATCTAAATAATTTCATAAACTATTTTCCTTTATATATTAACATTTTAAAAATCTCCATTGAAACCTTATTAATACGTGTGAATGAAAATTTAATATTCATGTATATTTAATATACTTGAATTTACTATTCATGTGTTGAAATTTTTTAGTGTTTTTCATTATTCACAGATATTTGTTTAGGCTATAACATACTATAGTCTGTCTCTGGAGAGAACGGGCCGCGTGTGCGCATGTTTTCCCCCTCCACATAACTTGATTTCAGCAAAGGCAGCCGATTGTAATTTCTTCCATTTTTGACTATACACCCCTAGGATATTTTGTAGATTTCAATTGTTATTATTATCAGACATCGCGCATCACACATTTATTTACCTTTGCTGTTTTATAACCTCTTGATAATTTTTCAAATCGTAAACTATCGTATATACCTTCTATAATAATCCAGACTTTGTTTTTTTTGTATACATATTTATTTATTTAATATTTTATTGAATACTGTAGGTATAATACAGAGTTATATATTTAATAAATAATAAATAATTATATTAAAACATTTAATTATTTTTTGTTAAAATTACAATTTATCATTTTTGTCATATTTATATTTTATTTTATTTTTGATAAAATTACAAATTTATAATACTAATTATTCGTCATATTTACATAATTTTTTTAAAATAATTAAAAAACTGAGAAAAAAGTAAAAATTACCAAAGGTACAAAAAGCAAACGCTGTAAAAATGATGTGTGCCTACACCACGGCAATTGGCGATAAACAGTGGACTATTGACAGTCAACAGTGCATTATTTGAAACTCAGTGTACAACAACTGCACCACTTCTGCAGTCGCCGTTGCAGCGCTGTCAATAGATCCGGGAGTGGATAAATGGATAGTGTTTCGGTGTGGGGATGCACAGTAGTGATTTAATTTGGTCGGAGAGCGGCCTGTTATCTCCAGAGACAGACTATATTAAATTTATTGTCAATTTTATACAAATTAAATTTATAATATTGTTAAATTAAAATGTTAAAGGATATTAAAATACTAAAATATGTAAATACATGAATGCATAAATGTATATGTGTATATATGAATAAAAATACATGTACATAGATTTTAAAATTTAAAGTAGATCACAATTTTAATTTCATGTGAATACATCAAAGCATTGTTCACTTGAAATAGTGAACTTTAGTTAACATGTATGAATTATATTATTTTAGGCATGGTTTAGGAAGAACGGATTTCTACATTCTAAATGATCCTGAATTATCTTTTCGAGAAATTGTTCAAAAAAATCTATTATCAGCTGTATCAGGTTCATTTACAACAGAAATGCTTGAAGCCGCTAAATTAGAAACAGTCAAAGCAGAAACAACCAAATCAGAACCAATTAAAATGGAAACTTGTAAAATATTATCAAATAAATCTGAAGTACCAAAATCAGAAAATACTAAGACTGAAATAACAGACACTGAAGTTAAATCAGAATCTATTATACCACATGAAACTCAAGGTGAAAAAATTGATGCAATCATCTCTGTGAAAACAGAATCAACAATAAGTACTGAAGCTATTGTAGTAGATAAAATTCAAGAAAATAATGTAGTTAAAAATGTAGAAGTATCTGAAACTACGGAAGTGGATGTAAAAGAACATAAAAAACCAGATATTTCTTTTGATGGTAAAAAAGAACAAGAAGTATCTGATATTAAACCAGAGCAATTGAATGAATCTTTAGAAGTAGTTGACCAACAAAACAATGATGAAACACAAGAAACTATTAGTAGTGTAGAAAACAAAACAATCAATAAACAAGTTAAAGATAAAGGTGAATTAAAATCAATTGAAATTGAAAAAACTGTAACCAGCGATGTTTTAAAATCTAAAACAGACAAGGAAATAAAAGAACCAATGAATCAAACTACTACTAATGAAATTCCAGTAGATACATGCAGTAAACCTGTTACCAAAGTTACTGAACAAGCTGTTAAATCCAAAGAATGCTCTATTCCATCCATAGAAAGTGTAGATAGATTAAAAGCTATGTTTCCAGAATTGGAAGTTTTACATAAAGATATAGCTACTCCGGCTGTTGATAAATTACCAATGCACAAGCCTCTACAACAAATTGATCAAACAATTGCACATCTTTTAGCTACAAGTTATCAGAATCCAATTAAATGGCCTAAGGTATGACTAATATGAATATTTTTTATTATATGGTGTTATTGTATAAAAAAAATTATGTATATACTTGATATTTTTGTATTTAATTTTTTGATTCATAGGAACACGCTCTAGTTGTCAGATTACAACACATAGTAGAATGTGTTGAAACAGGAGAATGGCCTGTAAGCAAAAAGTTTTCAGCTTATGCCCAAAATCCTATCTGTGGAATTGGAATAGAGGAAACTGAAATAACAGTCTCAAAAAGAGACATTGGAGTACCACATGATCATTTAAATTTGACTGATGTCCACAATGATCATTCGAGTTTGAAAGCTAATAATGTTATGGCTCATTCAAATCCTAATTTAAAACGTAAACGCCATATTGCCATTGATGTTGAGACAGAAAGAGGTATGTTAAAACTTAAAATATTTATAATTTATGTATTTGTATATTTGTTATAATTGTAATTTCAGCTAAACTTCATGCATTGTTAAATACTAATTCTATCCCAGCTCATCCGATCAAACATTCTCCAGCCCCTTTATGGGAACAAACGGATGAATCTTTGTCTGAAGACTCCAGGTCAGAATTTATTTTTAAGAAAATATTAATTTTAATTTATGCAATTTTTAAAGTAATATTTGTATTTATAGGCGATCAACTCCAGTTACACCACAACTTATTCAACCGCCACCAGCTCACCAACAATCTCACAATACATCTTCACGACTAATGAATATGGCCTATGATCTTAAAGTTTTAAACAATCCAAAAACTCCAACAACTGTTGCTACGCCAACACAACAACAATCTACTGGACCTATGGATTTATCCTCTGGGTTAGTATATTTGAAATCTATATTTTTGTTTTTTTTTTTTTTTTTTTAAATTTTTATCATTTAATGTAGAATTTTGATTGTTTATGTATTACGGAAATAATAAATTAGTGAATTGTTGTAATCATTTTTCCAATATTAATATAGAAGTGGTACACCACAGCAGACAGGATGCATGGATCTAAGTTCAGGACCAAGAACAACACCTTCATCTATTAATGAGGCCCAAGATTTTTCAATGCCATTTAAAAATAAACCAGCTCAAAATGTTACACAAACGCCAACACCAACACCAGCACCAAAGAGCAAATTAGATGATATGTTAAACAAATTAATGCAAAAGAAAAATTGTGTGCGCACTACACGTGTAAGTGGTCTTGTCATTTTAGAATTAGGGTGGAAGAAGGGTATCTATGGATTTTACTATGCATTTTTATTTAATATTTTTCCCCAGTCTAAACAACTTTTGAAACAGAAAACTTCAAAAAAAGAAGATACCTTTTCTTTTGTTGGATTTGGATGTAGTAGTGTATAAGATGGTTTTTTTTTTTACATAGAGGTTTTTTACCAAAAATCTTAGAAAAAAAAAATATATATCTATTTTGTTACATTTTAAATCTAGTTGGTGAATAAGGAAATCAGTTTTTGATTTTCTCTGTAGATTTTTTTTAAGAGAAATATGATTATTTCATTATTTTCAATAACAGAAAACTTATATTTGCCATAATTAGATTAGGTAAAATTTTCAAAACATTTTGGCCTTTTCAAAACCATTTTTCAACTATTATAGTCACGTTAACAAATCTTTACATATCTTTTATTTGGTAAGTACTTGGTAAAAATATAATTGTTTGACCTAACAGAAATGCTTGAAAATTTCATAAGAGGTTCATTATAAGTTCTATTACTTAATGATTTAAAAAAAAAAAAGTTGAGCATAATATAGTAGATTTTTTTATAATCATTTTAAAATCATTCTGATTAAAATTGTAAATATTTATGGCCTTTCAAATCAATTTATAAATGATATTTGCTCGACATCTGTTTTCATTAACATGGTTTATTATTAGTTACATATATAAATTGAAACATTTTATTTATGTGTCCAACTTCCTACCTACAACATTGGCGCACACCCATCAGCAGTATCCATTCTTTTTTTATTGTTTGATTTATTTTTATAAATCAGGAATCCTATTTTTAATATTCAATATTTAGATATGAAATCATATTATTTTGTTTTATTTTCCTTCAAGCCTTCTGATGAACCAGTTGTTGGGAAAGAAATGAAACGCCGAAAACTAGATGAAATTGTTTTTGGTATTTCTGCGGCCAAAGAAAAACAGTCGTCACCATCACCAGCACCAGCACCAGTACCAGCACCTGTCCCGACACAAACAGATCAGAAAAAGCATTTAGTATCAACTCCAACTCTTAATTACCCTACTCCATCTAATAAATCTCAACAAAATTTGACACAGCAAATTGGAGTAGCTCATAGGCAATCAAGTAAATTAGTAGATCCACTTGCAGTATTTTTATCTTCTCAAGTCCATGAACAACAAACTAATTTACTCAAACAACATACAACCTTACAACAGCAGCTTGCTCAACAACAACAGGTAATTCAAATAATCAAGTTTGGTCAAATAATATTATAAATAATCTTTTCAAATTGATTTTCTTAAGGTCTTAAAAATGTCTCAAGTTTCGAGTGCATCAGCTGTTTCTCAAACTCAACGTAAAATGTATGAAGCAATGATGGATAGTATGGCAAAAAGTACTGCTGATTATTCAGGAAAATTAAATGCGTCAACATTTTCTCAAGAAGCCAAAGTATTTATTATTTTCATTTTTAACATTTCCAATGAAATAATTATTTAAACTTATATTACTTTTACTTAGGTAAACAAATGGCTAGCTGAACAAAATGCACTGATGACTGATCAGCCAATTTCTGCAGACTTTTTATCCACTCCAAGAAGAAGAAGACCTAGAGTAGATCCAACATTATTAGATTGGAAAAAATTAACTGGCGAAGAAAATGTATCAGTAATAAATAGAACAACTGGAAAAAAGGTACATTTTGAAATAAAACTAAACAAAATCGCTATAGTTATTATTGTAGTTACTTCTTTTTTTAAATTATTAATTTACTCTATTACCATATAATTCTGCATATTAATATTATAATGTATTATTATATGATAATTTTATAGTTAACTGGAACAAAAGCACCACAATTAAAAAGAATAGGACAATGGTTACTTGAAAATCCAGTTTATGATGTAGATCCTAAATGGGCTGACTTGGTGAAAGAACGAGGAAATCTTACTCATGATTTACAGAAACGCTTACCTCAGACAGAACGCAAAAAAGGTCCAGGTCGACCACCTATGCAAAGTGGAGAAAGTGCTAACTCCTCCAGCCCATCTTTATCATCTAATCAACCTTCAACATCAATGGCACCAAATCTATCTTTCCCATCATTGGCATCAGCAGGGCTAGGTGGATTAAATCCTTCCACTCTACTATCAAGTTTATCTATGGGGAATTTTGATCCTAAAAATAATCCTTTGCTTATGCCATTCAGTGGGCTGCCAAATATTGGTGCTTTAGGAAGCATGGGCGGATTGAGTAACATGAATTTAACTAATTCCTTATTTGCGAATCTCGCTGGTCTGAGTCTTCCTGGACTTGCTGGTATGGATCCATCTAGCATGAATGATGGATCGCATCCATTACAAAATCCACCGTCAAACACCAAATCTTCTAAATCAAGAAAATCTGATTCTACTAATAAAAACACTCCATCCTCATCGGCTAATGTACCTTCAAGTATGCCTGGTTCATTACCATTTTTCTTTCCAAATCCAAGTTTATTGTATACACCTTTAGGCTTGGGTGGATTAAATCCATTTTCACTGCAACCTGGAGCAATTTCATCAGCTTATGATAGTCTCTCGCTATTAAATGGTAGTTTAAATGTATCATCATCACCCAACACATCTCAAAATTCAGTTTCACGTCACAAAACGTCAAATAGTCGAAGTCAAAATTCCAATGTTAGTACAGTAACATCAACTAGCCAACGGCAACCTAGAAGCAGTACACATCATCTACCATCACCTATGCAAAGTTCCTCAGATCTCCTTGAGAACTTAACACGAGCTGGACGCAATTTGCCACCTGATATGTCCAAGAGCCGAAATTCAAGAGATGTTGACAATTTGCGGTCCCTTATGTCAAGTATGCCACCTTTTAATGTGTTGGCAGCGGGAGCATTGGCAAGTGGTAGTGACTCTAAAAGAACAAGAGAGCAAGAGATGAGAGAAGCTCTAGAGAACTTGAGTAAAGCATCACCTGAATTATTTGCGCGATCATTACCCGATGATAAAAAATTTAATTTTCCTACAATGGAAATGATAGAAAAATCTCTTAAAAGACCTATTGAGCAAAATATATCTAACGAGAGACCCAGCAAACGTACAAAAGACATAATATCTCCCATAACAATACCAATACCACCTACTATGTCTAAATTGCCACTGACTAGTAGAGAAAGCCCATTGGATTCTGGTATTGATTTGTCTAGTACGATAAAGGCTAAATCTCCAGAGAAACAAAGAGATAAATTCAAGAAAATGGATATTCAGGCTTCTAATGTAGAAGTAGAATGTGACTCCCAGTTATTGGACAAATCTGAGGCAGAGATTGATATGACAAAACAAAAATCTGAAATGATTGATGAAAATGAGGATAAAAACGGCAATAAAAACCGTAAAAGATGTCGTACAAAGAAAACTTCTGTCGATGAGAATATTGAGCGCAAAAATTTACGTAGTAATGCTGGTAGAGCCGCTGCTGCTGCAGCTGCAAGGACGAAATCCCACTCTCCATCACCACTACCAGAATAATTAAGTGTGTGTGACTACAATTTTTATGAGGTGTTCAACCATTCCTAGTATTTGATGCTTTCATAGCATTTTTTAATTGTTTTACTAAAACAATATTTTTATTTTTCTTAAAAGTATTATTTTTAAGATAATATTGACGTTTAAGTTTTTTAAAAATATATATGTTCAGTTTTTAATGTATTGCAAACTTGAAGCTCAAATGAAATATTTCATTTTTTTTTTTTTTCTTGGTGAAATGATAAATATTTATTAACCAAAATATTGTGAAAAATGCTACTTTGCTACAATATAAAATTTGGAAGTGTCTATGATGTGTGTAAATAACTTTAAATGCTCTCTAAAATTACAATGAAATAAAATAAAAATATTGTTAATAATCAATATATATTTTTAAAAATTTAATCTCCCATTTGTATTGGATTTTGTTTTTAGTGGTTTTTTAAAAAAAAAAACTATATGTATACAACTGTGATAGTGTATATTCATTTGCACACTGTATATGTGTTATTCATCAGTACAGAAAACTGATATTTTTACCATTCGTACAAATAATTTGTTTTTTCTCCCAGCATTTATTAATTTACATAAATATTTATTCAAATTTTTCTTTCGGGAAATTGTGAATTATATATTTTTATTTATTTTTTTTCAACCAGTATTCTGTTTATAATTTTACCATTGTTGAAAGCAGCTATAATGTGTCATTTGTGCGCACACATACATATTTAAATGTAAATAATTCAGTTGGTATTTTTGTTGATTACTTAACGTGACCATAATTCCTCTGTCACTATTGTTTATGTATAGCCAATATGTGTCCGATGTATTTGTATTTTACATGTAATTTATTTTTGTGTATATATGTTAAATAATGGTATATAAAATTATGTATAAATATTTAAACAAATAATATAATAGGTTAAAAAAGAACTTATCTAGTTATTAGTACTATTGTTTTTTTATTATTATGATTAAATTATCAATTTTTGATGTACATTAACTATATTCTGGATCATTAATCCCCTTTTGAAAGAGTGTGGATGAGAATAATCATACATGACCTGAACAAAATCAGTTTATATATATATATATATATATATATATATATATATATAAATACAAATTAGATGATTTAAATATGTTCTTCAGTAATATTACTTTGTAGGTTCAATATTATAACAGATTTTTAAGGTTATATCTACATTATATGATTTATGTTATGTATGTTTATATGTATGTATTGTATAAGTTTATACATGTATGTATATTTATTTATGAGTATATATATATATATGTATAAACACACTCTGAGTATGATTTGTACTGAATTATGTATGTTAAAATAATTATGTAATAAAAGGTAACGTGGAAAATAAAATCATAAATGTTGTAAGAACTTTTCTAAACCAACTACAAAGGTACTTACATTTATTGTTCTTTGTTTTTCAGTTTTTTCATTGTGGTGTTGTGGCCTTAAAATATTGTATTCAAATAGTTTAATTAATAAATAAAATGTCTCGTGTATTATAATTTTTTTAGGTATTTATAACATCTAATATAGTATTTAAATTGAGATAGTTTTATATGCGAGACTTATTTTTTTTTTATTGTCTAAAGTGTTATAAGTCACAATATGAATTGGCAACTTAAACTTAAATTCTTGATAATTTTATTTTAAATTATCTTGCTACAAGTTGTCAATCCAATGATTATAACGCAAATTCAACTCTTAAAATAATTTAAATTTATGTTAATAGGCATTATTTTATGTTTTTGAATACATTATTATTACACATATCTGCTCTTTATTTTGTGTTGAATGCAAATTACAGAACTAAAAATTAGTCTCTTAAAAATAAATACATATTTTGTTTAAGTTATCTACCAATTAAAATTATTAGGACAATTGTATAATTGTATAAATATTTCCACGTCATTTTTTATTTATTTATTTATATTAATATTATATATATATATATATATTTATATACATATATATATATATATATAATATTAGTTTTTTCTTTTTTTTTTTAATGCCAATCTTTGATAAAATAAAAATTATTTGTTCCTACTAGGAACCTAAAATTTCGATATCTTTTAGAAACACTTGTCAGTGGTACTATGTAAATTGTACTGAATATTAATTTGCCCATATGAAGAAGGCTGTTATATTTATCTTTAATTATATAATGCACTGTTTACAGTCAATGTTTCTGTAACATTTTTTTACTTGTACAAAATAAAAATTGTTTTTCTATTTATTTGAATGCGTTTAGAAAATGTATTCTTAATATTATTTAGGTAACTTTTTTTTCCTTATAAAAATGGATATAGAATAATAAAATGTGTTTTATAATATTGTAATTACACTTTTAGGTGTCCTATTAAATTTCAAAAGATTGTGTTTTGTTGTGTATGAATGATTTCATCATATATAATATTATCTTCTAACACTGGTGTTGTTAGCAGTTATTTTTTAATACTCAATAATACAGATTTATAAAAAACAGGCATATTATTTTTCATGCTAATTAGTAATTTATCATTACACCTATTTTATTGCAATGCTTAGTTACATACCCATAAAAGAGTTAAGGTATTTGTGATTTTATTTTATATTTTGTTGTTAATGGAACAGTAGATTGTTCACATGTTCCAGAACTGTATTACTGTTTAGTCTACAGTAGCAACTAAAAATTTGTTTTTTATGGTGTAACTCAAGAAAAATGATAGATTGTGCTATTATTTTCTTAATTAAAAATATAAATAATAAAAGTAATTTGAATGTTGTATGACATAAAATAATATTGTTATTACTAGTGAAATTATTTGCTATTGTAGTTATTTATATAGATCATATATATTATAGTATTCATAGTAGTTAGTCGTAGCCCAAATAGCGCTAGAGTGGTAATGTTGCTTATTGCATGCTATTGACCTCTGATCAATAAACTTTTATAATATGACTATATATTCCAAAGGCGTGCCCAGAATTTTTTTTTGTGGGGCACTATTTATATTATTAGTATTTATTTTTAAATATGTACAGGAATGCGAATGTACTATCTTTTAAGCATTTGTTTATGAAATAAACTTTTATATTTATTTTTGCACTTTAAGTTTTGATTGAGTATTTTGATGGTTTTATATAAAATTAGAGAGAAACAACTTTTATTTAAAAACAAGCTGGTTGCCATAAGACAGCATTATACTAATAAATATAAACAAATACAAATACACAATACTAAATTTACATTATAAATGATTAAACGCTAATAATTCTCTAATGTTTATAACTTAGACTACAATAATATACTAGATTATATAATGATGAAATAAAGAAAACCAAACGTGTAGCTACGAATATGAATGGTAATTTATAGGGAGTCTTTTAAAACGGATAGCCATATTTTAATAAGGTCATATCAGTCATTCAAAAGAATGATTTTAGGAATCCTGAGGCTGTACCCCGAAAAACAAACTAAAGTCCAAATAATTCCTAACTTGTTTTACCATATTATTGCTGAAAACATGGAATGCGCAATTCATAAATATTTTTCTTTTCTTCATCCATTGCACTGTCTTGCTGCGGATTTTTCGTTTTCCTACGAATTGTTGAATTCAGAATAAGACCACAGTCTTTACTCCTTTCTATTACGATGATTTCTGTCCAATATTCTTCTCATTCGATAAGAAATGGACTTCCTCTAACACTTCGAATAACTTCTTTTGGCAAAAAATATTGGCTATTATCGTACGGATCCAATGATGGAACGAATTGCGCAATAGCTCCGATTTGGACAGGCATTTCGGATGTGTGGTAACATTTCTTAATATTATTCTCACTGCAGATTTGAAACCTATAGCGGCTACCATCAACGCCGTCCCTAAACGTTCCACGATTAGCCTTCGAATTCATCGAAGCCTTTATAGCATTTGACCACTCACTGCTCGAGAGACCTCTTTTATTAGACACCCATGAATTAGTTAACGTACACTTATGTACCATAACACCCCCATTTCTCTCAAGGAAATGTCTTTCTACTTTTGGAATTCCTTGTCTCATATACCTCTGACCTGATAGCACGCACGCTGTTGCCCAAAACTCCTAAGAGACGTAGACGACATTGTCTTCAGCTTGATAGTTGCGCACAGTCTGAAGATGGCAGTCATGTACTCTAGATGTTTTGTGTATCATTGCCAAATGCTGTAAAAAAGCCTCTTACGACATTCTTAACATACCAAGGCCACGAACCTTTCGACCACTGGTAGAGAACAAATCTCCCTTACACCTTGTCTTATGAGTAGGTCTACCTGTTCCAGGAATGCAGGAAGAAGAAGGTTAACTGACGTTGTTTGTAGAGGGTAGCCTAATTTCGGGTAAACATTCTGGTTTAAAATATTGGTTTTTTGATTGGTTTTTACCTCTCCGAGGTAATCCAGAATTGTCCAAAAATAATCAGACGGACTAAAAATCCGGAAATTGTCAATAATCATACGGAATGTATAAATTTACAAACAAAAATACGGTGGATTTTAAAAATTCGGAATACAAAAATACGCATGTTGTAATGTCCTGGACAAGAAATTTTCAGTATGTCACGCACAAGAATAATCAGGAATTTCAAAAATACTGATAATCGTGACACCGGGTCTAAGCATGACTATCCATAAAATCATGAACCTCCTTTTAATTTTAATTCGTTTATTCGGTTTTACCACATCTATATAAGTCTAATTTAAGTATTATTACCAAGTTTCAAGTCTCTACGTATATTTATAATCGAATTACAGCAAAAACTCCCAAAAATTAAAATTCCTTAAAAATTCAAAAATGTTGGCGATGTATTATAAGAAAGTAAGTCAAAAAAGCAACAAAAAAGGTATCTTGTGATTTTTCAATTAAATCATTTTTACTGATAGAAAACGTCGTCCGAGTTTTTATAAAATAATGAAATTATGAAATTGTACGTTTTCCTACGTTTTTTCTCACTTCAGTGCTTTTATTTAAAATATGGCGTGGAAAATCAAAAAATGACATCTTTAAATTACAATCTAGAAAACTTGAGCTTTCTGAAAAAGTGTTACACTTATATATCGGAGTAAGTTTACTAGGAAAAAACATGTTCACAAACTAGAACAAAGAAAGAAAAAATAAATAGCATTGTAAAACCAATAGCTCCCTCAATTCTAGCGCAATATAATGTTACCGATAGTACGCGCACATCGTATTTTTATTTTTTTATCCTGTATACAAACATTCGACCACAAATCTTGCTTGGACATAGATGAGCGGTATTATTTCTGAAAGGGAATATTGTCCAGATGGTACTTTTGGGAGGTAATTTTTTGATTTTCCAAGTGGTTTTCATAATACCTTGGAAAAACCAGGACAAAACACAAGAAAAACGGGAAATTTACGAAATTAATGCTNTTTCTAGACGTGGTAAAATGTTCGAAAAATTTAAGCCATTTTTGAGGTATTTATAGATATTTTAATTTTGAGAGTTTTGTATATAATATTTATTCGTTAGGTACTCTATGGTAAAATTGTTAGACTTGAACAGAAATGTTTCAAAATTTAACAGGAGGTTCATTAAGAGTCTTACTTTGTGGTAAAAAAAAAATTGAGCTTAATGTTTTTTCATAAGAGAATTTTAATATTAAATTTAGACGAAAAATACATGGGGAATAAATCTAATTCATCAATTTTTTTTTTTTTTTTTTTGAACAAATATATATTACCTATTTTAGAATAATAGAATGAAGTCAGAATTAAGTGGACTGACTAAGTTTCGAAATTATAACTTTTTGAATTTCTAATATGTGGGTATTATATGTTATGTTAAATAACTCTCTATTGTCCTTCTTGAAGTGTATATGTTATAATCTAATGGTTATTAATGCTCATGATGATCCTTGAGGTTCCGAGTTCAAGCCAGTGTGCCACATAAAAATTATTTGCATTTTTTCCCCTTTTACCTAAACAAGGAAAAAATAAATGCATTTTGGATGTACCTAGAAGAGGGACCCATGCCAATTGCTTCCTAGGACAACTTTAATCGCAAAATACCACTCGATTTGTTGTGCGCATTTTTCTATCAGAAATCTTACTTCGATGTATCAAGTGTAGCTTATTTACTGAAAGGAAATCTGACTGAGGTGTACTTTGGGGAGGTAATTTTTCGATTTTCCCAATAAATGTGAAAAATCGGTACAATATTAAACAAATATTATTAAAGAAAATATTTGATGCCTATTTAATTATTTTACCATATTATAACACATATATTGTTGACAAAGCATCACTCTCAACTGAACTACGCTCAAAATCGTTTTTTCGTTAGCAATAGTTTATCGTTGCTTACAGATATACATTAAATTATATATAACATTGGCTGTACCCGTCTCTATTATCTTAGAACGTCTTTTTTAAAATTAGGTTTCATTCTTAGGAACCAAAATATTTATAATCAGTAAACAAAGTATAAACTAATGTCAGATGTAATTAATGGATCATAACTTATTAACTTAATCTCTGTGTTACATACTATTTAAATATTGATATTATCTATTTATGAATCTAAAAATAAAATAAATAATAAATAAATAAACTCTTAAATATAAAAACTAATTCCGACTAATCAAAGTTAGGAACAAACTCGTTGAAATATATTTACTCTATAGAATTATAAAATGTAAAATTAATTATAAAAGATTTTAAAACATTGGCATTCAATTATAAACATGTAGATACTGCTTACTGTTGGTCGGATAATTTAAGGTTACTAGATACATAGGTACGCAGTATGTATGCCGCTAAATAAATTTATTAAACGTACCGCATTTTTTTCTAGAATGTATATCATTTACTGCTTGTCTGTTTAGTATTCGTTAGGTAGATACCAAAATAAATATTAAATCTCATTTATTAGAGGGTATAAATGATGTTTTACTACATTTAACCTAGAAAAATCAATGGCCTAATGAACTATATGTATTCTACAATAATTAATTAATTAATACATTAAAAATATAATGCTGAATTCGTGTATTTGACCGAAAAAAAGCTGACTAATTCATGCAATCGCAAAATAATTTTGCTGATTTCACATATACGGAAATGGCGTTGCTTATTTCATGAAAAAAGGAATTTTTCTGCCGATTTCGTGAATTTGGCAAACTTAAATTGCCTAAATGAAATGGTCAATGTTGTCTGAAAAATAACTCATTATGATAAAGATAATACGTATACAATTTTTCTAAAGATAATAAGATTATTATTTTTTAAAGTAGAATTACAAAATAAACATTTACACACCATTTTTTGCTTGTACTTTGTAACTTAAAACAGTGGCAAATTAATAGGTAATTACAATAGTAAAAATAAATTGGCACAAATCAGATTGATTAAAATGTGGTTTATCGTAGAGTCTTGGCTCACAGTATACCGTGTATAATAGATATAAGGATGTCCCATCCGTGTATATATTTTCTATGACTTTATGACGATTTAATTTCCTAAATATATACTAAAATGTGTAAACGTATAAGTTGGTAGTGTTGAATGGTGGTTTTGTGTAGTGGGGCGTTTTGTCGGATTTTGATCCGTAGATTATTATCGTGTGGCTTTATCTCGGATGGTTATTTGTAGGATAGATTTTTGTCGTGCTTCGGTCGCAAATCGGGGTATAACTGTTTGTAAAGAATAAACATTACGTGATCAGGAGGTACTATAGTGCATCATCCATGAATTATTTTTATTCAATCATTGAGCATTTACTATACACTACTGATACGGGAATTGCTGAATTATTACAAATTATAACGGTTCAGCCTACGTGAGTAATATTTATTTAAAAATGTGTACATTGTAAGCACAATACTTCCATCAATTATATTTGTTTTCTTGCTAGCTTTCAAACATGTCGAACGAAGCCAAAATTACTGACCCGTTAAACATGGACAGTATATTACTGAAAGCGTCGCAAGAGATTCTGTCCAAACATTATGGATTCTGTTTCTCAGTTGATAATGACGAAACAGTAAATGAAAAAACATTCTATACGCCACACGATTCTAGCGAGTTCGCCGAATTTGTTAATTTCGATCTGCTGGGTGAAGAAGGGGAAAATCTAAAGTCTACCAACCACCTTATTAATTGTAAAAAATATGAAAATATCACAAAGGACGGTGTCACATGATAAGTTCTTATTATATTACATTATATATTGAATTGAAATTTAAAAACCAATTAAAACATATAAACAGGGCAATTTGGGTGTTGTATACCTATAACTTTTTTATCTGACTGCAACACTTCTATTAATTTGGAATGTTTAAATTTAAAAATATTTTACATTATAATTCATAAATTTAATGGGAAATTAAATATAAAAATGTTTAATAGTAAATGAAAGAATAAACTATTACTGATTTCAAAGCGCTACCTGTAAACCTAAAATGTAATATAGCAATATTGTACGTATTTGTTTTTTAAACAAGCACTATATATACAAATCAGTCATTTAAAAGGTAATATGTACTGGTGAATTCCTAGCCCTAGTTTGTGATAGTTTTAAGTTTTGTCTTGTAGATAGACATTTTACTGTGCATTCAAGATCTTCTATATCTAAATTATCACTTTGCACCACTATTATTTATCTACTTACTTTGGACCACTGCACAACCCTCTATACAATTAATTACTTCAGACTACTGCACTACCCTCTATACAACTACTGCTGATGACAAGGTACTCCTATCCTGGTCTAAAATCTCATCCAAAAGCATGTAGATCTTTTACCGCCCCCAAGTTAGAGGACTTTCACATTGGTGGGCTTCCCTTCTCACTTATCTTATATTGTAAGTATCTAGTTAAGTTACCAAATTTACTTATTGTATAAAAAATATTACAGATTGTAATTGTATGTTTTTTCCTAATAAACTTAATAGATTTTTTATCAACCTGGTATAAAAGTCAATAAAGCAAGATCCACTCAATACACACTTTTACGAGTTGTTTGCCCTCCTATCTATCTTAATCACCTACAGCTACCATCTGCCTAAAGTGTCCATTATCTAGGTCTATATTTAAACTTTCTTGCCAACTATATTTTTGTCTCACATTTGAACACAATAAACTCATTTAAACTGCTTCAAAAACCACTTTAGACTTATGAAGTTCTAATATGGGGAGCCATCAAACTGTCCAACATTATAAATACATTCCCATTTACTNATCTATCTTAATCACCTACAGCTACCATCTGTCTAAAGTGTCCATTATCTAGGTCTATATTTAAACTTTCTTACCAACTATATTTTTGTCTCGCATTTGAACACAATAAACAAATTTAAACTGCTTCAAAAACCACTTTAGACCTATGAAGTTCTAATATGGGGAGCCATCAAACTGTCCAACATTATAAATACATTCCCATTTACTGTGGCATTTATACATGATGTTCAAGGTCAGTGAGCATCATGTTAGTTAATAAAATCAAACATATAATTTAATATAAAAGTGGCCATACTACAGTTGTAAGCAGCGAACCTTTATCAACATTGTTTATAATCACAATCCAATTCAATAATTACAAAAAAAGTGTTTATTTAGAGTAATACTCTATGGACTGAGATGATATCAAACTCTACCATTTGATAGCAATATATAACGAAAAACCCACGGCTAATATAATATACTATCAGTGGTTAAAAATAAAACGTAAAATATGATAAACGAAATTCAAAATATTTTGCTTTCAAATCATAAAGTTTGAAAATTTGCAAGATAGGTGTTGTTGGGCCAGGGATAAACTACATTTTAAAAAATCGAATCCCAAGATCTCCTTCCCCCTTATAACTGCCACTACCTATTTAAATGCCTTCGTCAAGTAATCAAAGCCACATACATCAAATGATAATCTTTATAAAGATATCCTTTTCAAAACTTGTCAAGAATTTCTACAAATTCCTTCACTCCAATCTCCACAGCCATCACAACCCTATAATTTAAAAACTGTCTGTTCCTACTTGGTGACATGATAGTATTAACTGTAGTTTAACTGCTTCACTGATATTTTATTCTTNTATGTATCAAACTTTCATGAACCTTTTGATGTAACTTATCTTCAAGGTAGGCGTCCTAAAAGCTTTAGATTGGGAATTGGTGATCTATTTCTAGGGTTAGAGGTTGCCATACTAACTATGAGATATAGTGAAAATGCAAGAATTATTTTGAGCCCAAAATATGCATTGATAATTATTAATTAATAAATAAAAGTACTTGAGTAAGAACTGTGAACCCGGCTATTTATTTATTACTTACCACGAACATAAATATTATTGTATTACTAAATGGTAAATAATAATTACTATTTACTATAATTTAATTCTGTAACCCTGTAAGTACTTGAGCAAAAATATTATATTTATTAATGTAGTCATACTATTTATCACCTAGAGATCTTATATGCTTTTGTGAAAACCAATAAAAATTTTGAGTTTCACATTATCACTATTCGTTCAGCAACTATATTATCGATTACTATGGTAGGTACGCATATTGTTACGTATATTCCGCAAACAATAAATGATAAAAGAGCTGAGGGGTTCCCAAAATTCCTTTTGAGGTAATTTTTGATTTTCCAAGCGGTTTTTATAATACCTTGGAAAAACCAGGACAAAACACAAGAAAAACGGGAAATTTACGAAATTAATGCTTTTATTATTTCATCAATTTTGCTATTTGTTGTAATTCAGTTAAAAATATCCGTAGAGACTTGNAGAGTTTTGTATATAATATTTATTCGTTAGGTACTCTATGGTAAAATTGTTAGACTTGAACAGAAATGTTTCAAAATTTAACAGAAGGTTCATTAAGAGTCTTACTTTGTGGTAAAAAAAAAAAATTGAGCTTAATGTAGTATTTGCTTTTATAAAGGAATTTTGATGAAAATTGTTTGAATAAAAAATGATGGAACAAATCTAATTTTTCCATTTTTTTTTCGACTTTATATATACATAATTTGCCAATTTAAAAAGGATGGTAAAGTCAGAATTGAGAGGACTAAGTTTCGAAATCATAGCTTTTTGAAGTTCAGACATTATGCAAATATTACACATTTATGTTAAATAACTCTATATTGCCGCTTTAATGTACATTTGTTGTAGTCGAATGGTCATACGTATTGTCTTACAAGGATTCGCGTGTTTAAACCCGGGTTCGAAAAGAAATTTTTAAATAGGGAAAAAGCAAATGCATTTCAAGTGTACCTAGAGATCTAGCTATCGCTCGCTCGAATGATTTTAATCGAAATTTTGTTGTGCAAATTTTGTTCACCAGAAATTTTGTTCCCATGTATCAAGTTTATCTTATTTTCTGAAAGGAAATTTTATCACCATGATTTAGGGATATCATTTTTGTAATTTCTCAATAGGTTTTTATAATAATTAGGAAAAACCGGGATAAAATGTCTGAAAAACAGAAAATATACGAAATGTAGGTATTAGTAAAAAAACATCGCCTTTTTTTCTGTGTACAAATTTTTTACCAGCAATTTTGCTTCGATTTTCAATGATAGCACTTTTTTTTTAAGTAAATCTGACGGGAAAGGTACTTTAGGGATGTAATTTTTCGATTTTGCCAAGAATTTTCTTAGAAAATGTGATAATCCGGGAAGAAACATGGGAAAATCGATACAATATTAAACCAATATTATTAAAGAAAATATATAATGCCTTTTTAATTATTTTACCTTAATATGACATCTATATTGTTGACAAAGCATTACTATCAACTAAACTGCGCTCAGAATCGTTTTTTCATTAGCAATTGTTTATCGTTCCTTATAGATATATATTAAATAACTTATAAGAGTGGCTGCACTCGTCTCTATTATCCTAGGGCGTCTTTTTTTGAATTCATCTTATGTTAATATGGACAATTGTAAATCCTTTATTATTAATTAATTACATCAGTTTACATCATAATTACTAATGCATTAAGGGTGTTTATATCTGAAAAATTATTATTATTGAAATTATCAATTAAAAATCAAGAGATTATCAATTATTGATAATCTCTTAATTAATAATTAATATTATTATTAATTTATTTAATATATAACATAATTATTATTTGATGATAATTTTTGTGGTATCTATTATAAGTTATCAAATAGAACTCTTTTAAATTTTATTATGTGGTCATTGTATGTTATTATATGTGTATATAATTTGTGTAAAAGCACCAATAACAATTTAAAGTGTTATATATAAAAATTGTTGAAAAAAATACATATTGTTTTGTTATAGGGGGAAAAAAAATTAAGTTTATAGAAAGAAACAGACAAACATTTAGAAAGTTTTTGAAAACTTTAAGTGCAACTTGTGATTTATAATTATTATGTGTAATAATAATATTATTACACATAATTGCATTAATTACAAACATTTTATTTTATTTTAATATTAATATTGAATGGTTTTTCAATAAAAAGAACAGATATTTTTTTATTATAAAATATGTTTTGTATTACATTCATAATTTTTAATATATTATAGGTAAGTAAATGTACCCATATTATATATTGTTATAATATTTTAATGTTTTTCAGTAAAGCTTTGAATTTAATTATATGTCTATAAATATTAATATTATACAATTTTTCGATTAAAAGGACAGATTTTTCTTTTTATTATAAAATATGTTTCATATTATATTTATGATTTTTATTAAACTATCAATAATATAGAAGATAATTTTTTTTTTTTCAATAAACCAATGGCTTTTTTAATCTTAACTCATTTTAGTTTATCATGAAAATTAATACATGTTAATACCAAATCGTATATTTCTTTAATAATTTTCAAGTGTTCCTCTATATACATTAAATATGTTTGAGGATTTTAGTGGACCAAACTGGCAATATTTTTTGGATATTTTCTGTAGATATCTAATGAATGTGTTTGTAGCTATAATATATAGTATTATCTGATATATAATCTGAGGTGAGACTTAGTAGGTTGCTAATAATATTCCTTGAATATCTGAGGTTTATTACCGAATCACATATATGATAATTCTAAAAAGTATAATCATATCTTAAGATAAGAATATTCAATGCAATATGGGCATATCTTCAACATAAATAGATACCAGTACAATTTCATAAATTAATTGAATTGTATACTCCTGAATTAAAGAATGAATAAGTTTAGTTAAGATTGTTGTCAAATAGTTTCAGTTATTGAACCTTCTCAAAAATGATACAAATGAAAAATATAAATTATTAATCCTATTTTAGTTAATCACAAAATAACTGTGTACCTATTAGGAAAAACTGATTTTAAAATGTAATGTAGTTTAAAATATCAACAAATACTAATAATAAATAATATTTTGCATATAATGTTATTATTTTTAAAATTTCAACTTGTAATATTGTGTGTTTGTATGTTTTAAATCTGTATTTAAGTAAAAAACAAAAAGTGTTATGCTTTATTGTTGGTTTTCCAGCTATTGGCACTATTAATTAGTTAAATTAATAAAAAAATTGTTTATTATAGGCAATATCTTAATAGATTTAATAATTACTATCTATTATTATTACCTACTACTAAAGTAGGTAGGTACTTTAGAGAAATAGTCTTTACCAAAGCTATCAAATTTAAAATTAAAATACCTACAAAACAGTTTGTATATAAACTGAATAAAATTAAACATTTTATTTATAGTGATGGTTAAAAAAATATATATCATTATTAATAATAAGATAAAAATATAAAATTTGTTTTTTAAATTAAGGAATACATTTTCAGAATTTGATTATTATCATCTGGTGTGCAAGTTAAATTAAAAAAAAAAAATTAATTTACACAAAGAATTCAACACTTATGTATAAATATTTTAATACATAATTAATGTTGTCATTGTTTTGTTACAGATATTTAAATGTTTTTAATTTTAATAAATTTTATTACGTTTTGAATGTTTAAGTTTTTACATATTGTTACTTACTTACTATGTATATTCGTATAAGTAATTATGAGAGTAAGAATTGAGGACGATTTATTCAATAAAGAGTTCTCAGGATAAAGTTTTTTTTTGCATATTTGAGATTATTTCATGGGTTAGGCAATATTTAAAATGTAAACCGTATTTAAATTAAATTAAATTCCGGTAAGTAGATATAGAAATATTTTTTTGATTAATAGCAATAGATTTTTGAAAGTTAGATAGGCAATAAATGGATAATTTGAGAAATTACAAAACAATTTCAAGAGCTGGGTAAGCAACACAGGTACAAAATTACGTTAGCAATAAAATTATCAACATGGGTTAAAAAATAATTTTCAGGAGTTTTGTAGACAACTTATTAAAATAGTAGAAATACAATTGCAGAAGTTGAATAGGCAACATTTTATACAGATTTGGGAACCCCTGGGATTCCTTATCAAATATTGCTAGCGGAACATACATCATATTGTGATAATGCGTGTGAAATTAAAATGATAAGAAAATGATAAATATGAACAAGTTGAAATTTATATATTCACAAGCACCACTTTATTAGAATAAGAATACTAACTACTAACCATCCAACGACTGGCGTAACGTGCACCCGACGTATTTGTAACGATGCCGGTTGTGTGTGGAGCTACATGTAGGCATGCATTTAATGTTTGTGACTTTTTTATTTATTGATTACATATTTTTTCATTATTTATTTTAATAGGTCATTCGAGAATTTTTCAGTTGACCAAACTATGTGTTGGAATGATACAATGAGTACCATTGCTCTTGTGTTTCATCCAATATGTTAAATCGTATTGTGGGAAATGTTTGCCATGTTTCCCATAGAACTGTTGGCAATCTCATTGTTGTCGAATGCTGTATATTCTAATGAAGTACCTTGTGACAAAACTAGGGCTATCTTATCTCAGACCAATGGCATCATCACTCATGGACCACTTGGAACCAATTACTCACAAAATACTCATTGTGAATGGTTAATCAAAGGTATGTTAACACTGTTTAATAATAATGTCTATTTGTCAACTTGATAGGTGGTTATAAATCTTGGCAAACTACTTAATTTTAGTAACTGGGTTAAATTAAGAGTAACTTACCTTGATTTAGTAACTTTGATAAGACTATGAGCTTACTTTTTAGTTAGTAACTTTAAACGTACTTCATTATTTACTTTCCATCTTTGCTAGGTCTACATTTGATGTGATGTAATTCATTTTAATTGTATATATAAATTGAATAGACCATATAAATATTCCTAATAAATACATTAGGTATATAGATAATTTAATTGCTATTTTTGGTTTACTTTGTCAAATATAACTTTACATATGTACCTACCGAATTTTTAATATGTTGATCTTTTGTTGTTTAATTTAAAACCAAATGTTAAACTAGTACAAATATTGGTAACAAATAATTTGTAGTGTGATATAAGTTACGTAAAGTGTACAATTTTCCTAAATTCTAATTTTTTTTCTTATTGTTTTATTTTTAATATTTTTTGCAGGTTTTTGGCCTAAAATTTTATATTTTACAGAATTTCATGTTTGATGTATTACCTGAAAAAAGTTAATTAAAATAAAGGATGTTACTTCAAAATATACTTAACCAAATTTTTATTTATAAAATCATTAGTACTTACATAATATCATAAAATGAATTAAATTAGTATATTATTGATAAATATATACTATACCTACTTATTTTTAATATTTTTTTTATAGCACAATAATAATTACTTAGGTAACAATGTATATTTTGCATAGTATGTAGGTGTTATAGAATTAGTTTTTATAACTTATATACTATAAATAAATAAAAATATGTAGCTACCTACTTAATTTATAGTTAAAAAAATGGACCTTTGGTACGATTTGTATTAACGGTTAGGTAGGTATGATATTTAATTATACTTATTGGAATTATTAAAATAGAATTACCCACTAATGTATTTATTTTCTACACAAATACAAGGTTAAAAAAACATTTATTTAAAAAATCAACATACTTCACACTATGAGTGTGCCATTGTTGCAGCTGGGAAATCAGAAGGTTGGATATTATAGGGTAATTTATTTTACATTTTTACGCAACAATAAATATTTGCAAACAAAATCCAATCCTAAGGGAAGTTTAGTTAAATGTGTTTTGATTAACTTAAATAAAATTGAAAATTGTATTTATTTGTAATTACAAAATTAATTATAATTATCAATAGTTTTGTTGTTGTTTGTTAGCACCCCGCCAGAGTGACGGACAAATGTATAATTCTAAAAAGGAAAGTGCATCTTTAAAAAAGATAGACATACTTTGTATGTAGGGGGGCACTGTTGTAAGTGAGAAGTTTGGAAGGGAAATGTAATGTATATGTGTACATTATGATTAATTATTTCTTATAAAAAACTATTTTGAGCAGAGTTTAGTTAATAGTGTTGCTTTGGCAACAACATATATGCCATATTATGGTAAAACAATTATATATACCAGTGGTTTTCAGTTTTTTTTAGGACTGTGACATACATGGTTTTACTTTTCAAAAAGTAGTTTATGAAAACAGCTGTGAAAATCAAATATAGTCAATCTAAATTCCTTCTGTGATTTTCTAAAGACCTCAAATCTATATTCATTGCTAAAAAGGGCGCTCATGCCAAATATAAAGTGTCCCATTGTCCCAGAGATTGTAACAAGTTTTCTAATCTTTGGGCACGTTATAAATTTGAGTACAATAAGTGCTATAAGTGAATAAATCCTGTAATAATATTATTCCACATTTTGTCACTCCCTGGTCTAGAGAATTTTCCTACTCATATTTAAGATTAGTTCTGTTACACCTGTATGTAAGCATTAAAAAATATCTAAAATTTTGTCATGTGTATAAGGCTGGTGATAAAACTGATGTAAAGAATTACAGGCCTATTTCGATTCAAAATCACTTGCTAAACTCTTTGAATGGTTTATTCTGAGGTGAATACAGCAATAGGTTAATTTTATCATAGTTGACAAACAATATGGTTTCAAGTCAAGTCATTCTGCCACTACTAATCTGATAGTTTTTCATAATTTTTTTATTGTAGGTAGGTCATTGAAAAATAAACTCGGGTGGATGTTATTTTTACGGATTTGCAATCCAAAGCATTTGATTGAGTTGACCATAAAATCCTAATTAAGGTTTTTTATAAATCTAGATTTGGGGAACCATTTTTTCTTGGTTCAAATCATACTTATCTAGTAGTGTCCAATGTGTTAGGTCTTAGGATGTAAATCTGAAGCAGTCTTTGTACCTTCAAGTATTCCTCAAGGGGGGGCATTTATCCCCATTATTGTTTATTTTATTTTATGTTCCTTATGTTTGCTGACAATTTGAATATTTTTAGGAAAATTTAATCAATAACTGATTGTGTTATCCTCCAGAAAAAGCTTGATGCTCTTGTCTTGTGGTTCAATTCTATTGGACTAAGCTTTAATGTAGAATCCATGTCTTTTGCTAGGAATAGAAATACCATTAACTTCAGGTACTTGATATATGGTTCAAGTATTATTGTTTCTATACTCAGTTTCAAATAAGAACGCGCAAGAATTAATGGCAACCAATGATATAGTGTATTCTTATATGGTACGGAGTATAGTAAGAAAGTTTTGGGTATTCTTTTTTGTCCAAATCTTGAATTTCATTACCATATTGAGGCTGTTTGCTGTCGTGCATTTAAGATACTATAGAATTTAAGCTCTCTAGTTCTCTCAATGCATTGTATTGCTTTCTCCTATGGCCTCTTTTGGAATATCTCTTTATTCTCTGGGATCCTTATATGACAACAGACTTTTCACATTGAGTGAGTTTAGAGGTGTTTTTGTTTTTCAGTGTCATTTATTTTACAAATACCACATCCATTGTATGCTTATAGGCCAGTGATAAATAAAATTTAACTTTTGTCTCTAGCAGATAGAAGAGTTGAAGCTAATTTGGTGTTTTTGCACAAGCTTTTTGACAGATGTGTGGATGCTCCTTTTCTTCTTTCTCAAATAAATTTTTAAAGTTCCTTCTCACTAAACTAGGTCTAATTCATTCTTTGTTGTTCTATTCTACAACACTAATCTATGGTAAAAATAATCCCAGTCATCGTATGATGCACATGGAAAAAATGCTTTTTTAAACTGTTTTGATTAGTATTAAGAACTGTAATTTGTTTTTTCAATTTTATAATTACTATTTGTTATTTAAAACCATTTTATATAATATATAGAATGGATAAATAAAATGGTGTGAAATAATATTGTTAGTGTGTAAGACCGGCACACAGTGATTTATTTTTCAATGAATGTATGTAATGAATTGTCCTATGTGGGTATGTTTATTGTCATAAAATATGAACTGATATAAAGGCCTATTATGTTTATTTTTGACTGGCATCTACTTATCACACAAGATTATTGTTAATTTGTTTACCTATTTACTTATTATTCTATTATGAGAATATGGAAATAGTAATTTACCTCGGATATTTTGCTTGAAGTGTGTAAGAAGCCACCTACATTATGATGAGTTCATGCTCGAGTCAATTTAGAGAAATATGTTGTGCATATAGGATGATAGAGAATAATAAACACGTCCTAGATGTATGATAGAAAATAAAATATAGACCAGAAAACCACATTTTTAAATTTTTAACTATCATTATATTAGATTACTAAGGATTTAATATTTACTAACATTGTGAACAAAATACATGACTTATTCCATTTAGAATTTGTTTTTTATTACAATACACTCAAGCATAAAAGAAAACATTTTATGTTATCTACTAAAATTTGTCTTAATTTATACAATAATATTTTTGTGTAAAATATTTAAAAAAAAAATTAATAATTATATTTCTACATTATTTTTCAGCGAACAGTACAAATCAATTTATTACTCTGGAGTTCAAGTTTCTAAATACAGAATGTTCTTATGACTATTTATTTATCTATGATGGAGATTCCTTTAATTCACCTCTTCTTGGAAGTTTCAGTGGAAAGAACAGACCTCAGTCGGTGTTAGCATCATCTGGTTTTGTATGTACTATTTTTTCATATACGTATTATATTTAAATATAAATTTAAAAAGCTGTCTTAGGATAGTGGGGATGGGTCTAGCCACTGTTATAGGTAATTTAATGTATATATGTAAACAATTAACTATTGCTTACAAAAAAAATGATTCTGAGTGCAGTTCAGTTAATAGTGATGCTTTGTCAACAAATATATGTTGTAGTATGATAAAATAATTGCATAGGTATTGTATATTTTCTTTAAAATAATATTTGTTTAATATTATAAAAATTTTCCGGTTTTTCCCATTTATTGGGAAAATTATTGGGAAAGTTAAAAAATGAACTGCCTATACAATATAGATAAAAAATTTTCCCAGAAAAAGTACTATCATTGAAAATCAGAGCAAAATTTCTGATAACAAAGTTGCCCACAGAAATAATAATAATAAAAATAAAAAAACATTATGAGACCATAAGATTCTTTATTCCACTCAGAACCTTTAACTAATACTGTAAACAGTATTGTAAAAAATAACTAAAAAATAAAGTTATATGATTCAATATATTTTGTTTTCCTTTATCATTATACAATTATTAATTTACAGTCTATTTAAGGTTTTTCATATGACCTATTTAGATTTATTACTTATTATTAAGTATAATATATTATTATTGGTGTTTATGAATTGCGTGCAGGAATCATAATATAAGTTGTAGTTCAATTTGTGTGTATGGTTTTTTTTTTAAATTTTAAATTCATCGAAAAAATGTTCTCTTTTTCTCCTCTTTTTTTTTGATTTTACAATTTAAAATTTAAAATATTTTTAGTTAGATCAAATGATTGAATTTTTAAGTAAGTAAGATTTACATTCTCTTTTTGCACAATATTATTATTTAAAAATTTATACCTTTAATAATGGATAATTTTTTTGTTTTTTTTCACTGTATACGATATCAATTGAACAATTGACTGATCATCAAAAGTTATAAATAGTTAAACTGTATACAGTTTATTTATTTATAGATTATAATCATAACTAATTACATGCATCCCATTAGACTCAAAAAACCAACCACCATCACTATTTTTATAGGCATGCAATTCGGATGCCACCATTATTATATATGATTTTTTTTGTGTGAAATTTATTTAATTATTTTTATTTTTTTTGTAGATGTTAATATTGTTGTTTAGTGACACAAATTATGCATTAGAAGGTTTTGAAGCTTCCTTCTATGTTTCTGATTGTCCAAGAAACTGTTCAGGACATGGATTTTGCCTTCGGAATTTTTGTGTATGTGATAATGAATGGGGTGGACCTGATTGCAAAACAGAACTATGTCCTGATAAATGTGGTGAACCTCACAGAGGAGTATGCAAACAAAATAGGTGCCATTGCCTACAAAATTATTCGGGAATGGGTTGTACATTGAATAATTTTGATTCAACTGGTAACAGGTTCGATTATTTTTCTTTACATTATTATTAAATTATTATTATACTATAAATTAAAATATTTTTTTTTTGACATCTAAATATTATACTAGATGGCATGAATTGTATCAAGGAGGTATACATCCCAGAGCTGCCCATTCAGCTGTTTACATTTCTGAGGCTGATTCTTTGTATGTTTTTGGTGGATATGATTTAAATAAGATTCTCGGTGATCTTGTTATCTTTCGATTTAACACTTCCATGTGGTATGATCAAAATAATAACATTATAGGTAATATGATATATTAAAAAAAAAAAATGTTTAATTATTAATTTTGAACTAGATATATTTATTTGTGTCCAATAGATCCTTTACATATGACAGTTAATTCTATTGGATCAACCACAATTAACGCTCTGATGACAGCAAAATTAGGAGATACAACAATTGGAACAAATAGATCCAAATACACATCTGATAATGCTAGCCATATAAATGAACACAAACAAAATAAACCATGGTCAGCTGTGTTACATGATATTTTTGTGTCACTAGCTGATGGTTCATCATTACTTGAACATCAAAATGATGTAAAATATATTTACTTAAAACAATATTTAGTTAACATAAAATGAAATAAACTTGAAATGTCCAATATTTTTCAATCATTTATATTTATATTTTTATTAATATTTTTTATAGGTTTTTGTAAATTCACTTTCTTGTTTTCTTATGCTTTAATTATCAAAATTATTATGTAATATGTATTATATAAATTAATTATTTATGTACTATGTTTGTTTAATAGAATACTCGGCATTCCCCATATGATTATCCTAGTTATGAAGAGAATGAACACATATTAAATGAAGTAAAAGAAAAGCGATTACCAGCACCTCGCTTTGGTCATGCAGCAACTAAGTAACTTAAATTTTTTTATTCTTAATATTAATTGTTTTTGTTTTATCACAACTATTACTTAGGTACAAAGGAGGATTTCTTTTGTATGGTGGTAAACTGAATAATGGTTTATTATCTGATGAATTATGGTTTTATAATATTTATTCAAAAAAATGGTTTTTGCGAGCTCAAAATTCTATAATACAACCACCTGCTCTCACACGGCATACTTTAACATTTGTTGAACATACAAATAGTGTTTATTTAGTAGGTGGTAGTAATAAAAAAGGATATTTTTCTTCCAAAATATTTTGCATTCAAATTAATATAGGTAATATATTAATACTACTACTTACAATGCTTTTTAATCCATTTATGCATTGCAGGGCATAGTAATTATCCTAGTAAATTAGTTTTACTTAGTAGTATTTCCTATTTATTGACATATTTACTTACATATTTTAAATATTTTTCAATTTATTGTATTATTTGTTGAAAAAATAAATTGTCAACATTTTAGATAATGACAATGAACAATGGAAAGAAATTAAACCTAGAGGTGGTAAAGAATTAAATTATCGAGTGGCAGCTCATTCAACAGTATATGATATACGTTCTCAGTCTTTGATAATATATGGTGGAATTGTCACTAGTGCATCGTGGTTTTCAAAACTTAGTGACCGTATGTTTATTTTCAATATACCAACACAACATTGGTCTGAAATAAAATATCCAGCTTCTAATGTACCTACTGAACGAGCTTTTCATTCCGCCAACATAATGGGTTAGTATGTTTACTCCAAGTATTTTCTCTATATCTATGCTCACTGCTCAGCATTATACTACACCAAAAGTATGATTCTAGTAATATACTCATAAGCCATAAGTAGTTAATTTTTAATATTGTTTTAGATAGGGATCATAAAAATAATTAATAAAACTAGGCATTAATTGTAACTTATTAATATTTTTGTAGGGAATTATATTGTTGTTTTTGGTGGATACGCTCACCGTCATGTGAAAGAAGAAATTTGTTATGATAATGAAATATATCTTTATCACCTTGGTTGTCATACATGGCTTAGTCGTGATGTGCTTGGTATATCAACTAAAGGTATATAAAAATACATAAATGTTTTTTACATGCTACATTTTAAATATGTATAGTAAATTTGTTATGACATATTATAGAGTTTACACACAAAAGATTTTATGGTGTATTTGGACATGCATCAGATGTTCGAAATGGAAATACATTAATTATTATGGGTGGTTACAGAGGTAACATAAATTCTGATTTGTTAGCATTTGTTTTACCACCCACATTATTGTCTACTGGAAATGATTCATATAATTTAGAAATTATGTGCTTAAGGTAAAACCAAGTGATATACATAAAATTATTTTTTGTCTATTAATTACCATTTGGTGTTTAGACATAAAGGTCTTCAAGAATGTACAGCAAATCCTGAATGTGGGTGGTGTTCTTCAGATGATACTTGTTATGGACGTAATCTTGGTATAAATTGTACAACTAATTTACAAACAACTAGATGTCCAGGAATATGTTTGGCATTAACTGATTGTCATTCATGTCTTATTCATGGAGAAAGTATTCCTTTAAGTAATAATCAGTCAGCTACTTCAGTTGCTCATATGATGCAATTAGGTCGATGTGTTTGGTGTATAAAAGAAGGGCGATGTCATCATAAAAATGGTAAATGATTAGTTATAAATTTAAAACAATAAACATATTTCTTTGGGTCAATAACATGTTTATCTTAATATTAAAGAAACGATGAACAAGCCGGTGGGGTATAAAAGCTCTAATTAACACTAATGCTCAATGTGATTGCTCTTTGAGTTTAATATTATTTAATATTTAACATTTCTATACAAATTAGTAATTACGAATCTTAAAAGAAGTGATCATAAAACAGACTGTACCATAAAATTTGATTATATATAATATAATAATATAATAATAGCCTAACCTAACCAAGTATATTTTATAAAGTATTAATTAAGATATCCTTTTTAGTGCTCATTAGTCATTACTCATTTATCTTTTAACAGTTTAAAAGTTTTGAAAAACATTTTTGTCAATAATTATCATGGCAACCCAAACCTATAATAAAAAACCAAATATTAGGTTTGATGTGTAAAAAGTAATTATTAAAAGACTCCATGTTTTTATAAAATAATGAAATTGTGAAATTGTAAATTTCCCAACGGTTTATTCCCACTTAAGTGTTTTTATTTTAAAAATGGGGTACCAAATCAAAAAATGATCTTTTTAAAGTACCATCTAGACAACTTGAGCTTTCAGAAAAGTTGCTTTACATAAAAATTGGAGCAAATTTACTTAGAAAAAATGTGTACACAGACTAGAAAAAAGAAAAAAAGAAATAAACATCTTAGTAAAACCATTTAAATGAAGGATTACATAAACAAAAAAAAATTACACAAATTGATCAGAAATTAAAAAAGACTGCCCCTAATTCAATTTTCATTGAACATATTTTAGAAAATAATCATAGTGTACGTTTTGATATTGATACAGACTTAGAAATATTGAATACCCAAAATAAAATTTACATTAATTTAGTTTTAAAAGAATTACACATACACAATGTAATAAAAAAAATAATTTTAATAATACTTTAAATATTCAAACCTATTTTAAAAATAATATTTTATTTTAATACATTTTAGATAATAAATAATAACCATATAATTTATTATATTTCTTAACATATTTATGTCAAATAATAACTAATTTAAAATAATCTCTCCTATTAAAATATATTATTTTCATATTCTACATAAAACAACTAATTTGGTTAATTGCATAATAATTTAACTAAGAAAAAAAGGGAATCTAAAACATAGAAAGTTATTTACAGACTAATAACAAAAAAAAAGACTGACATATTTCGCACAATGGGTGGACCACTATTGTAGATAATAAGTTGTAAAGATAGGATAAAGAGGGGAATTTAATGTATATCTATAAGCAAAAATAAACTATTGTTAAATAAACTACATGAAAAATAATTTTGAGCAGATCTTAGTTAATAGTATTGCTTTTTCAACAATATTATATTATAATTAAATTATAGTATCATTTTTATTAAAATGGTTTCATCAAATTCAATATTAAAATTCTTAAAGAAAAATTAAATCACTCATTTTGTTTCTTTTAACTACAGAGAAAGAATTCTAATGAACCTCCTGTTCAATTTTCAAGCACTTCTGGTTGGTCTAGCAATTTTATCCATAGAGTACCTATCTATGAGTAAAAATTACTCATAAAATAAAATGTTTATAAAAAGTTTAAAAATGATTCAAATGTTAATAAAATTTTACCATGTACAGAAAACACAAATATAATATTCCTGTACTAATTTCAAGTCTCTATGAATATTTTACCTGAATTGCAACAAACAACAAAATTGAAAATAACAAAATCATTATTTGTATAAAATTCCTGTTTTTCTTAAGTTTAATTTCTTTCCTTTTTCCATTCTTTGAAGTACTCTCAAGTTGGATACAGGATCTGTCCTTGGGATATTTTCAATTTTATGATATAGTCATATTTCTAATGCTTTAATTTTTCTTACTTGATGTTTCTGTTAGTATCCATAATTTAGCGCCATTTAATAATATAGGTTATATGCAACATCTTAGTAATCTAATTTGAATACCTAGTGAGACATATGACATTAAAATATCCTAGCCATTTTTCGGAATGCATCTCTGGCTATCTCAACCCTGCATTTAATTTCTAAAGAATGTTGGAAATCTAATAATAATGATGGTAGAAACAATCCAATTTTCAAAGAATACATATATCCTTTTCTAGAGGTGATAAATTGTTAAAAACATTTTATTAATTTTTGTATTATTTATAGGCATTTGAAATTTTATAATTTGTTTAGTTTTTAAATTGTTTTGGTCAAACAAAAATGTTTGAAAGTTGAACACGAGGTTCATCAAAATTGTATTTGTGTTAGTAGTTAGTTTTTTTTTTCAAGCATTATGAGATGAAATTTGAAGAAATTTGTGTAAATTACAGTATTTCAAAACATATATGACCAAACTTCACTCAGAACCATATTTTGTTAGTAATTAAAAAAAACTTAATATAGATATATCATACCTTTCCAACATCCCACCTAGAATAGTGGTACAACTATCATATTTCAATTCCAATCTATTTAATGTTGATTAATTTTGATTATGATTAATAATATTGTTATACATTTTATATTATAATAATTGGAGAGCCTGTTGATGTTTTGCTATCTGTATCTATAATAATAACAAAATATAAATGAAAATCCTTATTAAACAAAAGAAAAATCAGAAATCAAATTCACTTAAAATGGAGATGAAAAAGTTTCTGGATTATGATAAATAGGTCACTCTATTATTGTAATATTTAATTTAATTTTAACTTGAGTTTTTAACTTGTATAGATAATTATGAAGTTTGTGAACTGCATAATAATTATTTTAATGATGATAAATTACTTAAGATAGAAGTTGCTTATCCAGATGATTGCAGACTTTATGATAAAAGATCAGGGTTGACTTTTTTAAAATATTTACATCCTGCTAACTTTTCACAGCCAGATTTGGTATGTTTAATTTTCTATAGATTTTAAAAATGTGTACATTAATTAAATTTAATAAATCATTTTTATAGGTATCCATAGTTAATACTAGTGTTATTGATGTCTCGGCTCATTCGCCATTGTCACGAGCAGATTTATTAATTGGTGGTACAATGATTGTAAAACTATCTGGATATCTTAGATTTCCTAAATTTTGGGATAATCATAAGGACCAATTGCAATTATGCTCTCGATTCACAAATACTGGACTTATAATAACACCTCCAGATATGTATCAACCAGTATGCAAATTCAAGTAAATTAATGTGATTTATATGACTAAGAATAATTTATTATTATTAGGGAATTAATATAACATTAAAAGCTGATGGTTGGCAATGTTCACAACTAATATGGTCTACTGACAATCAACCATATCATTTTCCTGAATTATATTTACTAGAAATTACTACATTTAAAAATGTAACATACTCTCAAAATACTGGTAATGCTATTGTAGAATTGCAACATAGTAAAGGACATAACAATTCAAAGGTATTTTAAATTATTATTATTTTATACTAAATTTCAATCAGTTAATTTATAAATGTATAATTAATATACTTCAACAGCCTTTTACAATGGAATTTCTTAAACAATATGAGAGTAAAGATAACACGTCATGTGAAGACTACCAAAGTTGTCTCATATGTGTCAGTGATGCTAAGTGTGCGTGGTGTGAATTAAAATCAGTTTGTACTTCAAGGAATCAATCAGATTCAGCGGTTTGTCATAGTGATAATAATATTAATGAATGGAAGTATCTTGTTATATCACCTCACTTATGTCCAAATTGTTCTAATCAAGTGGATTGTGTGGATTGTATTCAAAGTGGATATTGTGAATGGTGGAGTCAAGAAGCTAAATGTGAACGACGTGGAAGGTATTAATGAAATAATAAATTGTTTAATATTAAATGATAAATATTTTTTTTTTATTAAACAAAATATTATGATTAGATTTTCAGTGGCCAATAAAACATCACAAATAATTTATGTTCATAATGTATTGTGTATGAATATTTTCAAAAATATTTAATTCTGTATTGTTGAAAACTAGTTATGTTGAAAATCATGTAAATTATGAAAAACCTTTTTATTTTTTATTTTTTGTGTAGTTTGTATAAAATTAGAATAATTGAGATTATAATTCACTTAATAAGAATTTTTACTAGAGGTTTTACATAAGTTATATTATTTATAATGAGGTTATTTAATAAATGTTTATTTCTTATTTATTTTTTTAGATTGTCTGAAGGAGTAGTATCTATTGACTTATGTCCAGTTCCATGTTCGGATAGACATATGTGTTCTGATTGTTTAGATAATGGCAGATGTGTTTGGTGTGGGGCAACAAATGTAAAGTATTAATATTATTTTTTTGAAATTTAATTTATTAATTACATATAATATTCTAGAAATGTTTTCATTTCTCTGAGTATACGTCAGAATATCAGTTTGGACGTTGTCGAGAATGGATTGATAAAAGTGTTCATTATTATGGGTCAGGCCAGATGCAAATAGATAAACCTAATGCAGCGTGCACTTCTTGTGAACAAAATATAAATTGTTCTAGTTGTCTCAAAACTCTTGGTTGTGGATGGTGTTATGATAGTAGTAACCCAATTCAAGGAATTTGTTCAAAGGGTGACTTCAGTAAGCCATTTATAGGTATGCTTTCTCTATTGAACCAAATTATTATAATATTAGATTTTGAACTATTCTTTTTTTCTTTTTTTTTTTTAACTATGATAACAATACTAAATACATGGTCATAATTTGTATTTTCCACTAGGAACTTGTTCTAACATAATGAACAATAATACATATGAAGAAGACACTAGTTGGGCATATGCTCAGTGCCCTGATGTCGATGAATGTGGACTTGGTCTACATGATTGCCACAAAGAAGCTAAATGTACCAATACTCAAGGATCATATAGCTGTCAATGTAAACGTGGTTTTATTGGTGATGGAAAACATTCATGTACAAGAACGTTAGTGTTTTTCTGTTTATTTGATAAATAAAATAGATTTGTTTGTACTGAGTCATATCATTCCTATGTTATTGAATATTTTTATAATTCTATAAAATAACCATTAAATATATTGGTTCCTTAAACCAATTACCAGCTCATTAAATATTAGTAAATTGATTTTGAGCCATAATAACTTATAACTATATCTTATAATTATATTTTTCTGATAATTAATTCTATTATGATCCCATATTTTTACGGGTGAGTTTTTAAGACCTGTTCATATGTAAGTTATTATATTAATCCACCATGATTTTTTTTTTTTTATTGAAATGCAACTCAAATAGATAATTGATTTAATAAATTTATTTATTAGAAAATTATTTTTAACATTTGATTGACAACCTTAAAGATAAGACTTTTTCATGAATCTATTACTTTTGTTAATCCTTTAGGAGGAAAGCAAAACTAAATAAAAAAAACCAAATAAATTTTGCCTTTAAAACAGAAAAAAATTCAAATATGTTTTTAAAATTACGGTAGTTGGTAAATTTTACTCTAGCCTTTTGTTTTAAACATAAACCATCATAATTTGAAAGTAAAAAATTGTCATATCCCTTCCCCTAAATTATTATCTAGCAGTAAATTAGTGAAAGTCTTTACATTAAGATAGTCATTGAAGGTAAATAACAATTTTCAAGTTGAATACAATTTGGAAAACGGCTTCCAATCTTTTAAATATGCTATTTATAGATGTTATCACAAGTGTGCAAATGGCTATTGTATTGGTGCACCTGATTATACTTGTAAATGTGATCTTGGATGGACAGGACCAGATTGTGCAATTAACTGTGGTTGTAATAATCATTCTACTTGTTATGAACGGCCTGGAAAATGTGACCAGTGTCAAGATTGGACCACTGGGCAGTTTTGTGAATATTGCAAGTAAGTCTGGTAATCAATCAATATTAATAAAATATAACCTTAATTTTATTTAATTATTTTACCTTAGAGCTGGGAGTTATGGTAATGCTACTTCATTCACAGAAGGTTGCCTTAAATGTGATTGCAATGGTCATGGTGATGAACAACTAGGTATTTGTGATTCTAATTTGGGTAAATGTTATTGTAAACATTATACTGAAGGAGATAATTGCCAGTTTTGCAAGAAAGGATTTTTTGGAGATCCAAAGTAATTATTATTTATAAAAATCTCTTTCATTATTAGTTTAGGAAAAAAAAGCCACTTAAATGATTAAAAAAGAGCTTATTTAATCTTGCCTATACCAGTGGCATGTATAGGAATAAATTTCAAATGGGAGGGGTTATTTAAAAAAAAAATGTATTTAATTAATATTATAAATCAACTTTCTTATAATATTTATAAAATTAGAATATATAAAAATAAATATATATATATATATATATATATATATATATATATATATTTGTTTGATTCAGAGTTTAGCAAAGAATGTATTGGTTTTATAAAGATGTTTATTTTATTATTTTTTATACTGTGTACAAAAATTGTACCAGAAATCTTGCTCCAATATATAAAATGTAGCAACTTTTCTGAAAGGAAATTTTATCTATATGGTATAGGCAGTTCATTTTTTGACTTTCTCAGGAGTTTTCCCAATAAATGGGAAAAACTGGAAAATAAGTACAATATGTAATTATGTTATTATTTTACCATAATGTGACATTTAAATAGTTGACAAGCAAAACTATTGTCTGAACTTCATTGAGAATTGTGTTTCCTTACCAATGGTAAATTGTTGTGTACAAATATATATTAAATTACCCCTGTGTTTTCCCAGAGAACACACAACTTAGTTGACTCAAAGATCGCCAGTACTCCAAATGCAAACTTTTTAATCTCACTGTAGCATTGTGGAAGACTATTCCATGCATTAAATATAAGTGCTTCTACTCATATCATTTCTTTTAGAGCTTGCATTTATGGACCTCCAATTTTTCTAACTTGCTCCTGAGTTCTGTGAACTTGCCACTCTATAAGTCTTTGCTTTTAAAATTCTGCAATTACATTTAAAGTGATCCTGTATTAACTCCAAATGGTGTTCAATGTTGATTTTTATTTGTTTTGAGAGGATTTACTATAAACATGTAGGTACATAAATCATTAAAGTTGAAAGAGTACTTAAAATAGCCCTTTAAAAACATTCTAGAGACTTTTAAACTATTTATTGGTATTTGACCTTTTCAAATTTTTCAAATAAATTTATTATACAATGTGGTTATAGTAAATAAGACAGATATACTTAACATGATGGTTGAGCTACTATTGTAGGTGAGAAGTTGGAAAGATAGAAAATAGAGGGGAATTTAATTTATATCTGTATGCAATGATAAATCATTACTAACAAAAAACTATTCTGAGTAAAGTTTTTTTTTATGTATTTATGTGAAGTTTAACAGTTTTTTTATAATTATGAAAACTGATCATAAAATCAAAAAAATTATTTCTTTAAAATACCACTCAAATAAACTTTTCTTTGAGAGTAAGTAGATATTGTTTATTTTTAACATAAATTATTGTTTGTTTCACAAATAATAGATTATTTAATATTACCCATCCCCAATTTTTTTTTGTTAGAAATGGAAATGTTTGTTATCACCAATGTATGGCAAGAGGTATTTTATCTGGAATGGGTCCTCAAGGATTTGGATCGAAATCTGTTGAAATCAGTGCTTGGGAAACACGTTTAGAAGGACTACCATCAAAAGAATGTCTTTGGATAATTGATCCAGAAAACATGCGGAATAATTCGACTGCAATGTAAATTAACTATTAAAATAGTTATTATTTAAACAGATTAATCAGGCAGGTTTGATATTTTTTTTTATAGTGGATCTTATGTGATACAATTGACAATTGATAGCGATATAAATGTTCCATGCGGTATGAATGGTGTTTACATATATGATGGTTTACCAAATTTTGTATCCATGTCTAGAACACACCCAGCTCATTCTCTAGGTGTATTTTGTACTAAAGATTCTCAATATCCTTTAACTATTGAGGGTGTTACTGGTAAACATGCACACTATATTTTATTTCAACAGTTAAAACTGTTTGTTAAATAATATATGATTACTAATTTAGGTGTTATGACTGTTTATTATAAACAATCAGAACCCACTGAAGGATTCAATGCCACTTATGTTGTATTTAGTTGTCCAGATTTCTGTCCCTTAAACCGTGTTTGTCATAATAACCGGTGTGTATGTCAAGAAGGAAGCACTGGGGTTTTCTGTCAAGATTTAATTTGTCCAAATGATTGCAATCAAGATAAAGGACATGGAAAATGTGATCATGTCAGTACATATTTATGTGTTTAAAATTCTCTTTAAACAATATAATTGAATAATTTGGTTTGAAACAATTTAATTTTCTTTTAATTTTTTTAGGAATATGGACGGTGTATTTGTGACAGTATTTATGAAGGAGAAGATTGTTCCATATTAGTTCCAGTCCCTAGCCATTTGCAGCAACCCCTGATATTCACAGATTTATTTAATTCTGCTCATGTATCAGATAATTTAGATCACTTACGTCAAACATTACCACGTTTTGGGCATTCAGTAGTCGCAACTAGACGTGGCCAATTGTGGTTGTTTGGCGGATATTCATTGTCACATGGTCCTTTAAATGATATTAGGCTGTTTGATTCTAAAAATAATTCATGGATGCAAGTATGTTATTTTGATTTAAGTCCTTAATTATTGTAAAATATTAAAAGTTTTGCATAATATGTATTAAATTAATCACAGGTCACTGTAGATGGCACAAATGACGCTCATATGCCAAATGGGAGATATTTCCATGCAACCGAAATAGTACATTCTCGAAGGGAGATATTTGTCTATGGTGGCCTAACACAAATTCAAACTACCTATGGTCGGTCTACAAAATATTCAATGAAGATCCTATCAGATTTTTGGAAATTTAGTCTAAAAGATCAAAGATGGATTGGTATACAGGTATTTAATATAATTAATATGTATATAATAGTTAATGCATATTTTATTATTGTTGTATTATATTGAAATAGACGGGTGATGATCCACCACCATTAGCTGGCCATACTTTAACATTACGATCAGTTGGTGATAAAGAAAGTCTTATATTGATTGGTGGTTTTAGTCCAGACAATGGTTTCCTTGAAGATATATGGGAATATGATCTACAATTTGAAAGTTGGAGAAAATTTAAAATAAGTGGCTATGGACCTGCTGGTAAATATACACAATATTTATAACTTAAATTTAAACCTTTTTTTTTATATTGTATGTCATTTTATACACCTACTATATATAGATATTTGTTTTCATAAACTTGTAAATTTATTAAAAAAAAATTGTATAATTAGGTATTTACGGACATAGTACTGTGTATCATGGATTAACAGACAGTTTATATGTATTTGGTGGATATATTTACACTGTTAATAAAACAATTATGACAGATAAACTATTTGCATTTAATTATGACCAACAAATATGGACTATTTTACCTATATTTAAAGACTATAATCCACCAAAAAATAGCCTAGTAAGTGTATCATTTATTAATATCTCTTTTCTCAATTTTTTAATATAGACAATATAATATAATTGCATGTTAAGAAGTATTAATTAGGGATATAAAAAAAAAGTTTTTATTTCTGGAAATATTTCCCCCTAGAGATTTATAATTTATTTTTAATACTTATATTATGTCTATAACAATATTAAACTTCTTAAATCACTCAACCAGAGACATAATATTATGAGTTCACAATAATTTTTGTGTATTGTAGGGTATTCAAAATTAAACCTAGTACTTTTTGTTCCTAATATAATAATTTTTGACTTAGATAGAACCTTTTTGTTCTATCATTAAATAAATTGAATACAGGTCTATCTATGGTTTGCAAAATGGTTATTTTGAAGTTATATAGACATATTTTTTACTGAATAACTTCTTTGATTCTAAATGTATTGAACTCCTTTCTAGATAGAAAAAGGCATGGTAAAATATATAACAAACAGAAAAATTGTATAAAATAATCACACATATACTTTTGAATCCAACCCCACAACATTTAGAAAAGGCAAATATAATTTTTCTGCCCAAATTTCAAGTCTAATAATAGTTTTAACTGAATTAAATTTATGAATAAAAAATCAAAATTAAAAATAATAAAATCATTATTTTTGGGAATTGTTTTTTTTTCAGTTTTGCTAAATTATCAAAAAAAACTTCATGGAATATCAAAAACATGACTTTTTTACTTACCATCTGGCATAAAAATGTAATATTTGCCTTGTTGGTTTTTAATTGGAAATTAACTGAACAATTTTCTTACTATTCTAGTATTTTCTGAATTATTTATAAATTAAAATAAATCTAATTTTTGGTCTTTATTTATTTATTTATTATTTTAGTCCAAATTTGTATGAAAATTTTAAAAAATATTTTTAAGTAACAACAATTTTTCAATTAATTAACTTTTAAAAATGTGTTAAAAATTTGATGTTTAAAAAATATTAAAATGTTTGTTTATTTTTTAGTTACAAACTAATAAAATATTCAATTTATCCAAAAACGTGTTAACTGAATGCTCAAAATTGTTTTTCATCTGCGATGATTTTCTATTATATTACTATTCTATATATTACTTAAACACTTATTTATATAAATTTAATATCCGTACATGAACTTCCCATCTGCAACAGCAGCCTTCTCATAAAATGTAAAGTATGTTTGGTTTTCTTAATACAAATTAATATTTTTAAAAACATTGAAGAAGTTGTCTTTGAGTGATCATCTTTGCATTTTAAAATAGATGATTTTAAAAATCTTTAATACGTCCATTTTTGTTTTATGTGAACACATTTTTAATTATTTACTCCATGGAACACTAGAAAAGATAAACGGTTTTTAAAATTTTTTTCAAACATGCATTATTAAAAAAAATTATTTTAAAAAATAACAAATATTCATAATAGATTAAAAGAAAACCACGGAATACTCACCATCATTTTATAGAGAAGAGTTTACATTTTGCATTTTTTGAACAAATTGGTCTATATTATTGATGTAAATGTGCACTAAAACAATATCTAAACATGTATAATACAAAAGGAAATCAGGAGATCAGGTTCATTTTTCTTAAGCAATAGTTTATCGTTGCTTACAGATTAAATTAATATATACATTAAATTCCCCTATATATCCTACCTTCCCAACTACCTTCCCTATCTTCCAATCAGTGGCTGCACCTGTTCCCATTATCTTACCTTTTTTTTTTTTTTAATTTTAAGAAATTTAGTTATGATTATTAAAAATATAATATAACCTAACCTGTGGTTTTTCTAAATATGTGTGATGTTGGATTGCATTGGAATTATGTTATTATAGGTATTACTCATATAATGAGTTTTTTTTTCTAATTTAATTTTACGGTTTAATTAAAACTTGTAAATTTTGAATTGATTATAGTTAATAAGTAAATATCAACTAAAATTGTAATATTAGTAGTAAATTTTGATTACAAATTTATATTTTATAATATTTTAGCCCAGGGGTCGGTTTTTACATTCAGCTATTACAACAGATGAATATATGTTTGTCTTTGGTGGAAGGACTGATCCACCTAGTACAAATGATACCTTGATTGCATACTCTTATGCATGCAATCAATGGATACGTTTGTTAACACCTGGTAATATTGATTAAATACTAAAATATAACAATTAATAAGAAATAAAAACAACATATTCCTGCATTGCAGATGTATTTATTATTGGTTTGCCACCACCTCCTACTCATGCTCATGCAATGACATTGGACATAGAAACAAAGTCAATGTATATTCTTGGTGGTTTTGCTGGGGATATACAATCTCGTGTTACACGTATTCAATTACCAGAAGATCTTTGTAATCTTTGGTCTGGAAACCGAGAAAAATGCAGGTCAGAAATGATTCAAATTTAATTTGATCAGAAATTTCTTTTTAAACAAATTTTTTTTTAGTAGTAGCTCTAATCTTTATATTATTTGATTTATTTAACACAGATCATTGGTTGGATGTTCATTTTGTCAAGTGCTTGAAACAAATATAAGCTACTGTTTTACTCATCTTGGTCCAGGCTTTAATCCTTGTGTTTCAACTAAGGGTACATCACGTACAAATAATGGAGTTTCTTGTAATTCTAACTGGATATCTAGTCGTTCTTGTGAACAGTATACTACATGTACTGATTGTTTAGCTACATGGCCCAACAATCATGAAATTTCAAATGTAAGTTGTAAATTTAATTATGTGTAAAAAATTTAAATAATCTATTTAATCATAACAGTATAAATTTATTTTACATCTTGTAATTTATTCTTTCAAGATATGTTCATGGTGTACAAATTGTGGTGCCAAAGGACAATGTGTAAAAGACCCATCAAGTTGTGAAAATTTGTGTAAAATAGTGTCAAAAGTAGAATTATGCCCAAATATTCAGTGTATGGCAACTGATTGTGAAAAATGTCATCAGCAAAGTGACTGTTTATGGACTAGGTAAGTGATAATTATTAGTAAAATTACATAATATGTAGTTATTATTGTTAATATTAAACAGACAAGTGCAGATATCTGAGTTTGGAACACTTTTGACTGGTGAACCATTGTATGATTGGAGTTGTTCTAGTCTAGAATTGGATCAACAATCAGATATAATGAAAAATTCTTCAATTTGCCCAGAACGTTGTTCTGCACAGAAATCCTGTGAAGCGTGTTTATCATCTCAAGTAAAATATTTATTACTTAAACAATTTATAATAATCATATTAAAATTATATACTACACCATAAAGGGAGGAGAAGGAGGTTGGCATGAATGTCGATGGTCAATAACATTAAACGAGTGCATATCACCTAGCTATCAACCATTATACTGTGCAGGTGGTGTTTGTGGACTTGTTCTTACTGGGGGTAATATAGATCGCTGCCCTCAACCTTGTTCAAGTTATACTCAGTGTTCTACATGTTTACGCCATACACATTGTGGATGGTGTGCTATGAATGTATTAAACAAGACTGGACAGGTAAATTGTAAAATAATGTTTTTGTTTAGACATTTTTTTGCTAAAAAATATACCGAACTAATCATATATTTTTTTATTAGGGAATATGTACAGAAGGTTACATGTCTAGTCCAGCTTCTGGTCCTAACCATTCGTGTCAAGAATTATTACAACACCTAAATAACGAACCAAAAATATCTGCTTATCAAAACTTTGAATCTCAGGAATTCATTTATGGAATAGTTGACAAAGTTTCATACAGCGATGTAATTTTATTAAATAAAGAATCAAACTTTAATGATTCTATAGCATGGTATTACATAACTTGCCCACCTGAAAATGAATGTGAAAATGGTCATCACAGCTGTAACTCAGAAAGCGAAGAATGTGTCGATTTAGCTGAAGGTTTTCATTGCGTGTGTGGCAAAGGCTATCAATCTGATGATAACTCTCAATGTATTCCTATTTGTACACAAGGTGATAAAAACCATAAAATAATACAAACTAAAATTTCATAAATTATACTTAGGGATGCACCTTATTAGATGCACTATATTTTTTTAGACTGTAAATACAATTTTATATCAAATAAAAAAAAAAAAAATAGGCAATAAATTGAATTTATTATTTTTCTTATTTTATTTAAATTTCATACAATGAATACTGGATCTCACTGAGAAAAGCTTGTATGGGAGTTCTGGAATTCTTACAGTATTATAAATTAATTATATACAATTAAATACATTCTAAGACACAGATCATACAAAAATAAAGATACAATAGTTTAAATAATAAATAGTAAACAATAGAAATCATATAAGAACATATAATTAAATAATTACATTTTACTGATATAATATATATTTTTTTCTAGGATGTTTTAAAGGCAGGTGTGTAAAACCAGATGTCTGTAGTTGCGATTTTGGTTATGTTGGTTCCAATTGCACTATCCAATGTGAATGCAATGGACATTCTGATTGTGCTGGTCCTGATCACTTAACAAAGTGTTTAAGTTGCAAAAACAACACTCAAGGTTCTCAATGCCAACGGTGTAAACCATTGTATGTGGGTAATCCAGTGAATAATGGTCAATGTATACCATGCTCAGATTACTGTGGTGGACATGCTCATATATGTATAGATAAATTTGATAATGTACCATTTGATGCTCGGAGTATTTTAAGTGATGCAAACACTATTCTAATGCAAAATGATGGCCCACTTTCTGATGCTTATTGTATAGATTGTATGGATAACACAACTGGTCCAACATGCTCAGGTTGTCTATTTGGTCACTTTCGAGGGTCCACTGATTTTCGAGATTCTTGTAGGTAAGTGCCCTATGTATGTATATTGATAATTTAAGTTAATTTTTATTCATTGATGATTATTAATTTAATCAAATTTGTTTGTAGGCCTTGTGAGTGCCATGGACATGGAAGTAAATGTGATCCTGTTAGTGGAGAAAAATGTGATTGTCAAAACAATACTGAAAGTGATAAAAACTGTCAATCTAGTGTATTACCTAAACGCCGGCCATCAAAAATAGATAATAACATGTGTTGGATGCACCAGTGTTCAAAGTGTAGAGATACATATCTGGGAACACCTACAGATGGTCATCAATGTTATAAACAAATGAGTGTAGACTCAAGGTTTTGTTTAGATGCCATACCTCTTGATGAATGTAAAACCAAGTCTCATGCTCTTAACCCAGGACAAATGGTATATATTAAGATTGAATACAAAATATTATTTTTTTTTTTATTACAAACAAGATTAGGTTTACTTTACATCATTTACAGTTTGATTTCTTAAATTAATATAATATTTAATCAAGCAAATCGGGTGTGGATCTAGAAATATGAAATGGAGGGGCTACTTTTTATTTATAGAAAGACAAAAAAGATAATTTTGGTAAATACATCAGATATTAGTTGTAATATATTTTCAAATGATAAATATGAAAAATTGAGTTCATTAATCTTTTGACCTATCTTTAATTTTCATTTTTTGTTTTTTTATCCAGAATATCTGTTAATAATTTCATTGGTGTCAATGAGTATTTCTTTGTGAATATTAATAACCTCTAACTCATTAGCCTGTCTTCTGCCATAGAAAATCTCATGTAATTTTTCAACTAGCATATGGAAAAAAATGATCTTTCCAATTATGTTGATGATATAATAAGTGCTGTAAAACTTTGTAATCAAATTTTAATTTTAATTGGATAAATTACATCACAATTTTTCACTGACAGTTTTGGCATTTAGATTTTCTGTATTTGTCCATTCTGTCTTCCAGAGTTTCAATTTGGCTTTTATCTCTAGATCAGAATTTGATGATCATCCTGATATAACGATGATTGAAACAGTCAGTAAAGGGAATACAAATGGTAATTCTGAACCACTTCTCAGTATTTAATGTTTTAATATTACAATATTGATAATACATAGTAAAAGTTCACAAAAAGTCATAATTTAGTCATGTCCCTCTAACTAAATAATTGTTTTAATAAAATAATTAAATTTTGTTTTTTCAACAATGAGACAGATTTAGTATTTTCAACTGTAACTAATAATATATTGCTACATATTGCTAGTTTAGCTGAGGATAATATATAACACTATCCAAAGAGAGGGGGCTGAAATCTTATAACCCCCATTTTGCATCTGAACTCTGAATGATTACAAAACAAATAACAAATTTTGTTATTAATTATTTGTGTAATTTTATCAGAGTGGTTCTTAAGGGAGTACATTTTTTGGTTTTTCAAAGGTTTTCTTAATGATGGAGAAACAAAGTAGGAATAACTGGACAATTTACAAAATGTATTATTTTTAATTTTTTGTTGTGATTCAGTTAGAAATATTTGTAATCTTAAAATTTTGAGACCAAACATACACTTGGTTTTTCTAGATGTTCCAACATTTTCAAAACAATTTAGTCATTTTTGAGTTACATTATAATTTTGTGTTTTACACATTTTATCTGTAGATATAAATTGTTAGACCAATCAGAAATGCTTGAAAATTTAACTAGAGGTTCGTTATAAATTATATTTTGTGATTAAAAAAAAAAAAAAATGAGTGAAATGTAGAATTTTTTTATACAAAGTTTGAGAAAAATCATAAATATAAATTTCATAACATGTAAAATAGAACTTCCCACAGAATTATTTTTTGTTAACAAAGATTAATTATTGTGTATGGATATTAGATATACATTAAATTCTCCTCTATATAATACTTTTTCAACTTTTCATCTACAACAGTGGCCCACCCATTGTAAATATGTTCTTTTTAAATTAAGGGTACTGGTGCACTATTGATATTAAAAGCAAAAGGCATTTGGTCATTGTTAATTAGAGTCACCCTTGAAATATATTAGAAATTAGTCAATTACAAACTATTTCTAAAAACTTTTCCTCATACATTAAGCCTCCAAGTATAATGTGTATATTGAATTTTTGAATAAATTAATCTGGTAAATTTAATTATTAAACTATATTCTCTAATCTATATATAAATTTTAGACTCTTGAGTACACAAAGAAGTTATAAGATTTACAAAGATTTTTTTTTTCTGAAAACACTAACAGTTGGTAAAAAGAAGTTGATTTTTCATGTCATATCTTGAAGGTGTGAATTTTTCGATGGTTGATAAATTTGTTGAAATTCCCAATACATTTAAACATATTTCATACCTAGGTTCTTTTCCTTATTGTTTGATTTTTGTATTATCTTGGTAACAAGGAAAAAAATAATTAAATACTACATCCTTCAAAATTTTTTTTGACTTATAATATTTATTATTACTTACATTATATAAACTTGATTACTCAGTGTATCCTACTTTCCCAGTTACCTTCCTACCTAACCTTTCTGTAAGCAGTATCAAATTTTTTTATTATTATTAGAACTTATGTTTGTTTTAGTCCTTTTTTGTTGTTCAACCTCGGTTTATGAATGTGGATATCAGAATCACTATTGACATAACCCAAGGAGCAGTTGACTTTTTCTTAACATCACATGAAGATGTTTTCATAGTTACTCAAAATAAATCTCTCAATAAGAATACTTTTTCTTTTGATCCAAGGTAATAGCATATTGTATTATACATTTGTGAGATATATAGTATGTCAGACAATTTGCATTGTAATCAAAAATAAACTAAAATAAATTGATTTCTATAACTGTTAATAATGAATGTATTATTTATAGATTTGAATGGTTTAGTGAAATAGAAATTATCGAAGGAGTGAGTGGCAATTTAAATTTTTCAAAAGATTCCAAAAATTTATTTACATATCAAGAACATAAACCCAAAGGTTTATCTACTTATGTTACATTGAAAAAAAGTATGTCCCTGTTGATGGTTAAAAATGTTAATAACAGGTATGTTTTCAATGATAACACATTTAAATATTATTAAATATAATATTTATATTTTATAAATGATCATTTACTATTCTTTTTCAGATTGATTATTACTCTTCCATACGATAAACATGATTTGGCTGGAACAAGATATTATATGGCACTCTTAGCAATTACATCATTACCAGCACAAGCGACACATATAGTGCCAGTTCCAACATATGGAATGGTTTTTTTTAGACAAGACCAGCTACATATTGATCTCTTTGTGTTCTTTTCTGTATTTTTCTCATGTTTCTTTTTGTTTCTTGCTGTATGTGTTGTTGGATGGAAAGCAAAACAAGTAAATATATAATACATAATACGGATATACATGTATGTATTTTAAATATAAATTACTGGATACTAATGAAGTCAATTTCATTTAGGCAGCTGAAATGCGCCGTGCTCGCAGGCAGCAAGTTGTGGAAATGTTACATATGGCCAAAAGACCATTTGCCTGTGTGTCAATTGTTCTGAACACGTCCCAACAATCTGAAACTAACCAAGGTGTCAGGTTTTGTGATGTAAGACCATTATCAATTGAACCCACTAGTGACTCCAATGCTGCTGTGACTACTCTGTTGATTAAACTACCTGACCATGGGCAACAGTCTACAGGTACAAGGTTGGCTCTTGGCTCAACTTTGGTGTTGAATATGCTTAATCCGAGGGGTGGTTATGTGTCAAATAGACATCATCATAACGCTGGTGGTCTTAGACAAAGAAGGAATGTTCCTCAATAATTATGGTATTTATTTTAAGTAATAAAAATTTAAAATACTCTCAGTATTACTTATGCTCTACTTAAGCATAACTCAAGTATTTTAGGAATATAATAAACTATTAATTTATTACATTTGACTTGTTTGAAACGATTAAAAAATAATAATAATAATTAAAAACTAAATATCTATCAATCAAGCTCAAATAATATTCAATAACTAAAAATTTAAATTACATTTAATTATTTTTACTCTAGTTATTAGAAATTTTAAATAATATTATCAATAACTCACTTAACAATAAAAATTATAATATCTTCTTACACTTGAATGATATTATTTTAAAAAAATTTAAACCATTTATTTATAAATATAATTTTGTCAATTTATATTTTGTGATTTCTTAATTTAACTTATTTAGCTATTACCAATTATCAACTCTCTAATAATTTTATTCAATTTTATTATTTATTATTTTTTATTACTTAGTTTATAAGCTAATTAGTATCATTTATAAATTAATTATTTCCATATTTTATGAATTTAATTATTTCCCATTATTTTTTAAATTACCATTAATTTTTATATTATATTTATTATTTTTATTAATAATAGTTATGGTAGATAATACTTTAAGGCCTAGGTAAGTACTCAGTTTGATAGGTAAGACCTAGCAGATACATTTTAGTGGACACAAATTTCTAATGATTTTATTGAATTTAATTGATTTTACAACATTTCCATTATTTTCATTGTATGCAATTTTTTAATTTTTTTTTTTTGCCAAAATATAGTATATGCCAATTTTTATTATCATTGAAAATATTATTTTATTTGGGAACAACTGGTACATTTTACTCTGGGTTTGGGGGTAATCAGTATAAAAAGGTTACTTTTCAAGGCTACTGGTACATACACAAAAAAATGTTCTAATTTGTCTTTTGCCTAAATTGCCTTTTCAAGACATGATAAAATTTACAAAACATTTGAGCCATTTTTAAGCTATTTATAGTTATTTTAATTTTTTGATTTTTGTACATAATTTTTATTTAATAGGTACTTTGTGGATAAAATTTTTAGACTTAACAGAAATGCTTGAAAATTTAACATAAGTTATAAATCGTACTGTGTGGTAAAAACAACAAAAATTGAGTTTAAGGTAATATTTTTTTTTTAAAGAATTATTTTTATATCAAATTTAGATGAAAACTATTTTAGTAAAATATTATGTGATACAAGTCTAGTTACTGGCCTATGCAAATTATTCCATTTTTATTTGTTTTAATCATATGTATATTGCTGATTTAAGAATGTTGGTGAAGTCAGACTGGATTGACTTAGTTTCAAAAATGATAGCCTTTGAAGTTCTGATATTTTGTCTGATATTATATGTGTTATGTTAAATTATTCAGTATTATCTATTTTATAATATGTCTGTCATTGTCTAGTGGTGGCACGTGCTTATTGTCATCCCAGTGATGACAAATTCAAACTAGTTCTAAATGCATTTTGGGTGCATCTAGAGACTCAAGCTGTGGTAATATGAAATATATTGTTCAAAAAGTAATACTATTAACAGAGCTTTGCTCAAAATCAGTTTCTCATTCATTGCTTACAGATATAAATTAAATTTTCCTCTATATCTTACTTTCCAACTAATCATCTACAACAGTGGTCCACCCATCATGTGAAGTATGTCCGACTTTTTTTTGAATTTCAGATTGTTTACAACTGAGTACTTTTTTATTATCTAGAAAATTTAAAAATTGTTACATTTTGCCACTATTAAACCCTTATAAAATAAAAAAATATAGTGCTAATTATATTTTATGCTGCTCAAATTATTTATAAATCATCATCATACAAGTTTTTATATTATTAAGGATTCCTATGGCTTTAGTTGCAAATGTCAACTTTAAAAATTTGAACAAACTATTTTATTAAAAAAAAAGTATATTAATATATCAGATTATTTGTTTTCTCTTACCTCATTCTTATTATTTGAAAATCTTCAAAATTTATAACAACTTAGGTCTTAATATAATTATAATTATATGTGAAGATTATTGGGTGTTTGACTTTATAACATATACCTTAGCTTTTCTTTTACTCTATAATATGCTTATAATATTTTAATATATTTGCTATATATATATTCTTAATGTTTGATTTGTTATATAAAAAAATTGCTTTTTTTAAATTTACTTTTTATTTATTTATTTATCCACTATATCAAAAATAACATATGGGTCTTCCAAATTATTTTTATAGTCATTGCCAGATATCTTGAAGCTACTTTTTTAATGTGGTTGTGCTACTGGCTCAAAGCCAAGATATCAAAAAATAATACATCAATATGGTGATATAGTTTTCAGAATAGGAGTATGTATAATACCATAAGTCCTACTCTCTAAACTTTAACATAACATTTGAAAGGCCTGTATTTTATTATAATGTGTATTTAACAATAATAATATTATTATTATTATGCTTCACCATATTGTATTTCGCTATTCAATGTAATAATAATATACAAATTAGATTACGAAACATTGTTATATTTTTTTTATGTATAAACAACAAAATTAATTATATAATTATAATCAATTAATTTTTAATGTAGTCTTATATTTTAGAAATAATAATATTGTTTTTTTTTTGTTTTGTTAATTTATATTTGATTGTTTCTTGATATGTTTTGCTTTTGGTTTGATAACAATAAAAACATTATATTTAATAATAATATTATAGTATTTTAACCTTAATATTGTTTTTCAGGTTTTTTCTCCTAGCTTTTTACAAATTGTTAACATTTACAACTAACCAATAATCCATTCAGTTTTAGTATTTATATATTAAGGCAGGAGCTTTTTTCTTTCAGCATTTACAGAAGGAAAATAAATGCCTCTTAGAGTGATCTGATTATAATAATTATTTTTGGTTGTAGGTTTCAGGAAAACTTCCTAAAAGATTTGACTTAAATTTTTAATCAGATGTGTAATAAAAAGCCACTAAATAAAAAATGATGAAAATTGGTGATATTCCAACACATATTGTAACTTTTAGAAATATATTTTAAAAGTAAATATAAGTCCAATGTAGCCTTGTAAGAAGTTTTTCTCTTTCCAACAAAAACCCATAAATATAATCCAATTGGATCATAACCTGACCCGGCTGTTCCCAACCTTTAATCTTTAATTAGCATCACCCAAAAATGTTAAATTGAAGCACTATTATCTTGAAAACGACTTTATTAATTGAAATCGTAATTTTAGATTTTGAGTGGAGCGAATAAGCTCATACTTTTACAATGATGTTAATTTTTTTTTTATCTTTATACAACTTTTCTACTGAAATATTTGCTCGTGTAGCACCTTTTCTTAAAGAAAATCGATGTGGGGTGGTACTGTTAATGTCATTTTTCGATTTTCCCAAGAGTTTTCTCGTAAAATTTGAAAAAAGAAAAAAAACGGGAAAATGTAATAAATATATTACTAAAATATTACTATTTGATTTTTTCTTGTGAATAACTTTTCTACCAGCAATTTTATTCCAACTTTTAATAATAGCAAAATATCTAAAAGGAAATTTCATTTGGGAGGTTGTAACGCCCAAAAACGACCATTTTCCGTTGCCATAGGACAAACGTACCTAAAATCAATATAGTCGACCGGTTAATATATTACGCCCGCGGCGACGGATATGTTATATCATTGTGATCAATAATCCCCCCGCGAAAAGTTCTATGCGATCGCTATCTTTCGTAATTTACAATAATATTATATTCCTGACTACGGATTAACGGCCAATCATATGATGTTTCCCCTTATCGCTCAAAACGTCAGCCCGTGGCGACGTGTGTCACGAACGTCTCGGCGCTCCGCTACTTAGTTTGCTCGTCCATTTTTCGTTTCGTCTCTAGACCTCTTCACGAGACTTTGTCATCATACATTACCATGATACCATCATAATTCGTAAATCATACGGTCATTTAATACAATTTTATTCGTCTAAAACACTCCCGTACTGTGCGGGTTTGCATATTTTCTGCCAATAAAAATGGTCGCATACCTTGGCATGTTTCCTGTCCTGATGGTGCCTCAAACGAACTAATGGAGTGAGTCCCGACCTGGTCCGCTGGGCGAACATCCTCGGGCGAGATGATTGGTAATATATATATATATATATATATATAGTTTAATAATTGGCCGATACCCCGTTTAGTTAGGTAGTTTTAAGTTGCTTTAGTTAATGTCCCTCGTTTAAATACTTTGTTTAAAATGTTTTTTTTTTCTCCCGAACAATCGTTTGTTCAATATCATGCACACACTTCCCAACACAATATTTTCCCGTTTGTATACGCGTCCTACAGTCCGCGTTGTGTATGTTAAAGCCGTGTATGATATAATATTTCGTCTAAGTTAAATTCTTTCGTTATACCTACGGGGATCAATCAGCGTTTATCAAGTTTGTGCGTCCGTCTCAATGCAGTAATCCCCGCGTTCCACATCCTATGTGCAATAGGCGAACACCCCCCCCCCCCCCCGCATTTTTTATTTTTTATTTTTTGTATCCCCTTTTGGGCCCTCAGCTTCATAACCACGTGTGTGTGTGTGTGTGTGTATATTTAAAAAAATCTATATAATATCGATCGATTTCCCCATCTCGCGATCCATGTTCGGACCCACCCCGCAGGTTAACCCGTACGGCCACCATAACCACGGACCAATCTGGAATAAAAGCTTTCAGCTACCCTTCCCGGTTGTAATATGTGTGATCTGGCGAACATCACATCCCTGCTGTGGTCTCCCAATATATTTAATTTGTGTCCACGAAATTCCACGTGGAGGTCCGTCTCTAAATATATATGTATCGCTCTACGAAACATGCATATTATTTGATACGTTATTTTTGATACCTTGGGTTAAATTATTAATTTTTATTTAGAGGTTTCTATTTCTTTTTAAATAAAATCAGTCCATGTTACTCTCTGATAATGTAGCTTTTTTAAGGCGAAAGAAATTTTAAAATCAGTAGTTTTTGAGCTTATTTATTACTAACAAATATTTTCTCATTATAATATTAGACTATAGGTATAACTGTAAATTATAATTACATAGCGTGTGGTTGGTGTACTTATATGCTTAATCGACGATAGAATCCTTGTGAATAAAACATAATAAAATACTTATAAAACAGAAAATGAATAAGTATATTATAATATTTTTTATAATACGTCCTTGCGGTTCTATTTGCCCACATAGTCTAATTATTGGCGTAGTCGCCGTTTGCCTTTCTACCTAGTAACAATATTTTAATCCCAATATTCGTTCACACAATCATTTATAGTAGTAAAAACATAATAATGTGTTAAATTTTAAAATCGTATGTTATCATTTTGTGGCGTAGGTAAAGGTACTTTATACAACTGCATTGTTATTCGATATTTTTCTTAATTTTAGAATTTTTAGACATATCCATTGCAATATTAACTTTTTCATAAAATTTGTTTGAACATTTTCGAATTTTAATTAATATAAATATCTTATGTGTTGCGTGTTCATTTTGTTTTCATAAGTTTTTTGAAATCATGATTATACGTTGTTAAAGCAATTAACAACTCCGTTAAATGATCATTCATTAAAATTGAGTGATATTTAGTTTTTATTATTTTCATTGCTGCGTTCAAAGACTCGCAAGAATATGTTGTTCCAAAAATTCTCCACATTTTATTACATACTTTGGTATCTTATCTTATCTACGATAATCATATGCATACACACACACACATATATATATATATATATATATATATATATGTATATATTAATATGACCTTATTTTCATTTCAGCTCTTTATTATTTATATATTGGACGGTTTGCGAGTCTCTTCTCGCTGGCCACCCACCCCTGTTATATAGTTATCAAATTTTAATATTTTAACCGAAACGCATAATTATATAGACACTCATCAAAAATTAGTATTAAAAAAATAAAATAAGGAAAATAAATATTTCAATAAAAAAAAAAAAAAAAAAAAAAAAAAATAACAAACTCGTGTCCCAACAGCTAAGAAGCGTGGGACGGTTCTTCGAATTGTGTACCAGGAGTGTATGAAGTAGCAACGACCATGTACCTAGTGTAACGGGGCATCGCACTTTTATCGTTAAAGTGCTCGCCACCAAATGGCGGTGGAGGTGAGGACCGACCGCAATACCTGCGGCAGTTCTGCGACGAATTACCAGGAACGCATAATATTGAGTTGTGTCACTGCGTACTGCCGAACGTGGGAGGTGAGAATAATTTCTAGAAAAAAAAAGAAAGAAAATAGAGATACGAACATTTTTCGCACGATGGGTGGGCCACTGTTGAAGGTGAGAAGTTAAGAAGTTAGGATCCGAGTAATACATGTTTATAAAATGTCATTAGAATATAAAATACATATTGTTTTATTTATAAATTATTCATTATTGTTTTATATATTAAATAATATAATATAATTTATATAATATAGTTATTTTCTTTTATAGGCTATACCCCTTTTATTGGCCTATTTCCATTCTGTTATATCAGCATATTTTTGTTCAGCCATGATCTTTTAAATATATTCCTATTAAAATTAATTATTATTTCTGTGCTAAAAGCTAGTCGTGTATGTATAACATTTATTGTTCAGTCGTATAACCATATACCTAACATGAAAAATGTGTACCTGTGAAAACCAATTGTAGTCAATAGTTAATATTAGAGTAAATATTTATTTCATATATATTTTCGTTCGGAAATTGTTTTCTCTCATCGTTATAATTTATTAATGTTCACTTTTTAATTTAATTACCACACCACAGCGGTGATTCAACTCGTTCGGCTGCTGTTAACTATGTTTTTATAGTAATACTCAGAAACGGTGATTAACAATAATATGATGGGTACTTAAATTCTGCATATGTATATGTTATGTTGTGAAATCGGTTAATCTCGTTATATTTATACATTTTGGATATAAAAATCGATTTTGTGCTTTTAGATTTAATACTAGAATGTATGAACCTATTAGCAAATTTAAACTCATACGTAAACGGTTATTGTACATCCTACAATACTATCATAAAAGATGATTCATTTAAATGGGTACACTCGTTATCTCGGAAAGTATTAACTTTTTCTAGAATTTGATAAGTAGAATATTTAAGAAATAAGCTGATCTACAATATTATATATATATTATTTTTTGTCACCCTTATTTTTGGAGGTAAAACCACCATTTACTTTTGATTTTCAAACGGCAACCTATGTTAAAAATTCCATAAATAGATGGAGTATTAGTTGAAGTGGAAGTGAAAAATGCGAGTGAATAGAACCGAGTTCTATGTACTAACGACAAGTAGCTACCTCATCTACGATTATACTTTACTCACGGTTATACACTCGCAACGTGAGTCAGCCAGGTGATGCTGATTAATCATCATAATTTCTATTTATTAATCTATTATCAATTAGTTGTTGAACCGTTTTACCTACTTGATAAACTAACAACAAAAAGAATAATTATGATACAAATATTAAAAAAAAAGACTTTGAAATCGTGTGAGATCGACCGTTTGGCCGCCCTCGGCGTAGACTGTATAATATTTTCCTTTAATATAATACTCATAGGTAATGCCGGAACAGTTGTGTATAATTATATACGGTAATAGTTATATACTATAAATTTCGACAAGTGAACGTCGACATAATCACATTCGATTATTCAATTGTTTATTTTGATATTCGGTACTATAATAATAAAATAATACAGCGTTAATATCATTAGCAAACAATAATACAAATTATTTGGGCCGTAACGATAACGTCTTTATTTTTCGAAAAAAAAAAAAAAAAAAAATAATACGTAGCGATTTTGGGTGACATTGGCCACAATCATTGCGTTGCCGTCTCCCCTCCGTATCGTCCGGTTTTACCGTCGTGATCGTACACCCTCTACTGGGGGTGAGAGGAGGGTATAGATGCGCAGTAAACCAAAAATGTAAAAATCTGAAACGTTACGGTATAGTACCGCCCGTCGGAGTGTTTGTTCCGCAGTTAACGTTTTGCATTGTCACCGCTTCATTGTCCATCACTGAACACGGTTCTTCTACCCTGCACTGTCCGAGAACGAACGCAATTCACGTCGTCTCGTCGTAAGTATATTATAGTCAAACAGTAATTACTTTAATAATTGCAATTATTGTAAATATTATTATTTTTATAATACCTACATTATTGAAAGACGGGGTAATCGCCCAGGGTGGCATTTTTACGGTATTCGTCATGCGCCGATTTTGGGATCCACTACTTGTATTATAATATATACAGACTATTTGACAAATGCAATAATTTTTTTTCCATTGAATATTTAAAATTCTGAGTGGAGCGTAAAAGTTTATGGTTTTACAAAGATGTTAATTTATTTCTTTTTTCTTTTTGTGGACAACTTTTCTACCAGAGGACTTGCACCGATTTTTACGTGTAGCGTTTTTTTTTATAGGAAATCAGTGTGCGGAGGTACTTTAGAGGTATCATTTTTCGATTTTCACAAGAGTTTTTTGATCGAACGTGAAAAACCGAAAGAAAACGGGTACATGTACGAAATATATTTGTATAATACAATTTTTTTTTCTATGGATAATTTTTCTACCAGCAATTTTGCTCCGACTTAAAATGATAACATAATAGATAAAAATATTATTACTTATGATAACAGTTTAAAATGTTGATTTGTGTTTTATCTTAAGAGATTAGAAATTACGATTTACGATAAAATTACGAAGTTTCTGATTAAAAAATGTAACAACCTAAAATATGGAAAAACGAGTCATTTCTTATCAAAATTCAGTTAAAGTCATTGTGTTTTAAGTCAGACATTTGTTCCATTTCACCCGTGTTGACAACATTCGTTCCGTAGTAATATTAAATATATTGTGCACATCATGAAAAATATAAAAAAAGTATGTACAATATTTACCAGATTATCAATATAGAAATTCCATTTTAACTTACTATCTAAGGCGAGGCCTAGATACTTAATACAATTATAATTTTCTAAATGACACAATTATTTTGACAATTAAATGGATATACACTTATTTTCCAATTGGAGTTGATTTAAGTAAGTTTAATTCCAAACAATTATTATCAAAGCAATCTTTGATTTCTTTTACAACATTATTAGCTTTATATATTATAAATCTTTTACAGTCTTACTATGAAATAAAATTGCAGCATAGCTGATTATTTCAGCATTTATATTTAGGTTTTTGAAACTATTTATATAAAAGAAGTCCAAGAACAGTACCTCGAGGAACACAGTGTAAAATAATTAGAGGAGAGCTAATAAATAATTTATTTTTTCTACTTGTGTTATATTAATTAAATAAGATTTTTATAATTCATACATTTCCTCTCTTAAATCAACATTATGTTCTTTCTTTTTAGTAATAATTCATGATTTACAGTCAAAAGTTTTTTTAATGTCTAAAAATAATCCTAAATCTTTTGATTCATGGTCTAAGTTATCATGAATAAATTGATTGACCAGAAAAAAATGCATCATTAGTGGATTTAAAAATCCAAATTTTTTTTTGGAAAAAAATGTTTACTATTTAAAAATTCCAAAATTCAGTTTTTAATATATTTTTCATATTTTTTAGAAATAGACAAAGTTAGTGCAATTGGGCGATAATTACCGCAATAAGTAGGATTACCTCACTTAAATAATGGGTGAATTTCACATTTTTGAAAGTTCAAAGGGAATGACCCTAAGAAAATTGCCAAATTAAAAAGATGGGCTAAAAGAACAGATATAGATTTAAAAAAATATAATTTGTTAATCTCGAATCAAAATTAGAGGAGTGATCTTTAATTTTAATTAAAAGGGATTCTATTTACTTTGATACTTCTTATACTTAACATTATGTGCCTACCTACCTATCCAGCATTTATTGTTTGATTTATCATAAATATTGGGTAAGGTAAAGTGTCTTTTTATAAATAAAATTAAATATTGGTAGTTACTGTTAAAATAAAATCTCCGTTTTATCTTAGGTTATATCAGAATGACAGAAAATTGGGGTTTACCTATTAAAGATTGGGGTTCACCTACTGAAGATTGGGGTTTACCTACTGAAGATTGGGGTTTACCTACTGAAGATTGGGGTTTGCCTACTGAAGATTGTGGTTTACCTATTGAAGATTGGGGTTTACCTATTGAAAATTGGGGTTTTCCTACTGAAAGTCTTCAAAATATAGAGGTAGATCAAAGATGCAGTGAAGTTAATGGTGACTGTGATTTACGTAAAGCTGACGGTCATAAATCAAATGATGATATCAATAAAAATTTTGAAGATCATGATCTTAGAAAGAAAAATCAAGATACAAGCAATGAGAATAATTTTTTGATTCAGGCACCGGTCAGGAATTCCTTTGACCAAAATAGAGATCATAGCTACTCTTGTAGGAGTTCAGCTAACAGAAATAAATCATATACTCCAGAAAAGCCTGTAGTTATTGCAAAAAAAACTTATATTCCTCTTACATTTGATGATAATAATGACTTGGCGATAGAAGCAGGATTGAATTTTCCCACATACAATAAATTTGAAGTCAAAGTAAGTGGAATAGAAGTACCGAAACAGATTACATTGTTTGAAGAGTCTCCTCTGTGTGATGTGTTATTAAGCAATTTAACTAAGTGCAATTACATTATTCCAACACCTATACAAAAGTATGCATTGCCAATTATTATGGAGGGAAGAGATATGATAGCTAGTGCTCAAACAGGATCAGGAAAGACTGTAAGTATGAAAAACTTCTATAATAATTTTATAATTTAGATTAGTATTGAATTGGTTATTTATTTTTGTGTTTTAGACTGCATTTATATTACCCATTTTGTATAGCCTAATGATAAAACCATCTAAGTTATATTTTGATCTAAACCATTGCGAGCCTCAAGCATTGATTTTGGTTCCTACAAGAGAACTATCTATACAAATATGTGAAGTTATTACTAAATTGAGCAAAGGCACCAATATCAAATGTGGTATTTTATATGGTGGTACAGCTACTTACTACCAAAAACAAAAAATTTTGGTAAATAAATCTTACTATAAAATCTTTAACACTTAAATATATTTAAATTATATTTCATATAGGGAGGTGTACACATAATTGTTGCTACTGTAGGACGACTTATTGATTTCGTAAATCAAGGTATAATCACATTTCAATCTTTGCGTTTTTTTGTGCTTGATGAAGTTGATTTTATGCTTGCATTGAATTTTCAAAAAGAAATTGAATATATATTTAATCATAATACTATGGTCTCATCGGTAAATATATAAATATTATAGTTTATAGTTTTAAATTAATGTACACCTTGTTCGATTAATAATGTATTAAATTATTTTAAATTATCATTTGCCATAATACAAATGTATTTATTTATTTTTAGGTAGAAAGATCTATAATTATTTTTTCAGCAACCTTGCCTGAGGGTGTTCGACAAATAGTCAAGGCATATTTAAAACCTAACTATATATATGTAGATGTTGGAGAGACTGGGGGAGCTTGTAAAGATATTGCTCAAACTGTTATAGAAGTTCAGCGGTTTGCGAAGAAACAAAAATTACTTGCCCTACTTCAGGAAACTAGTAAGTAATTAATAAAGCAGATGACATGTAGTTTTTAATATTCAAGCATTTATCTACTTTAAAATGCTAAGGCCTTGTCAAACAGACAGTTTTTCATGCGTGTAAAAGCGTTATTATCGTCTTGTTATATTTGTATTCAATTACAAATCATATTGGCTGTCAAACATGGTTTGTCATCGTGATTCGTCAACGCAGCGTTAGAACACAATGTTGTACAAAATTACATGCATTACAGCATTATTTTTTTCAAACCTTGGTAAAATCAGTTGGTACAATTTTCCAAAACTATCCGGAAACATCTGGAAGTACAAATAAAAACGGTTTTCATATGATTCCAGTTCATAACATAAACGATGGTATTCACCATAATTTTCTCTTTTTTTTTTTATTTATGTCATGAACCCAAATTCGCTTTTCCTTTTGTTGACTTTCAACTACTGCATATAAAAGTAAAAGTTCTTTGTCCGAACTACTGGACATTTTTGTCAACTATACTGTCTATACCTTGCAAATGTACTAACAATACTGCTTTATTATCGACTGCTATCAATCTACCATGACTCAACGCTTTGGTTTCTGTGTGACATATGTAACGTTAGAGATAGCGTTAATAACTCTGTTTGACAAGGCTTTAAAACATGTTCTAATAAACACTAAAAGTATTAATTATTTAAAAAACATCTAAAAAAGACATCTATAAGAAGAGTAACTAATTCATTTATTTATAAATATAATAAGTATATTCAATTTGTTATTTCTTTTTCTGACCTAAAAAATTATATTTTTAAAAGATTGCCAGTTTGATAAATATTATTTTTAAGAAATTGTACAAAAAAATGCTTTAAAAAGAAAAAAAAACACTATAAATATCTCAAAACCGTAAAATAGACTAAATATGCAACATAAAATTACAAATTTGTCCTTGTCATATCTCAAATAAAATGAATTAAATGTAGCTGTTTCGTATAGCTGCTCAAAACAAATATACAAATGCAAGAACTCCTTTGCCCCAATGATTCTTAATTTTTCATAAATATAATTCATTTTCTAATTATCATTCATTAACTATTTTTTTACTGTTGTTATGTAAACTAAATTTTATTTTATTTGATATAGAAAATTGCCAAGGTATAATTATATTTGTACAAAAAAAACGACTAGCTGATTTTATTGCGGCCTTCCTATGTGAAATGAATTTTCCAACAACAAGTATACATGGAGATCGAGATCAACCTGAACGAGAAAAAGCTTTAAGAGATTTCAAAACAAAAAAAATTAAAATATTAGTAGTTACTGCAATAGCTGCCAGAGGATTAGGTAATTGTTTATTCTTGCCTAACAATGTATACTGTACATATTACAGTGTTAGGTCTAGTAGATTAGATCTCACTGATAATTTATCAGACAAAAATTAATTTCACTTATTTAACTTCGTACAATAACTAATTCTTATGCATGTATTTTAATTTAAATTGTATTTTTCCTATATTCTATTTACCCATAAATATTAAGAAGCCTACAATTATTATTTAACTATTGCTTGTCATAGATCATTAAACCGATATATAATTAGTAGTAGTAGATTATAATTTATAGTCAATATTTAGTATTTACAATCAATAGTAGTAATTATAAAATATTAGTATATGCATTCTATGCAAAGCAAATCAACAATGTTTTTTTTTTTTTAACATTTGTAAATACAGTAGAAGCCGCTTATTAGAAACACTTGGGACTCTCAGGGACTGAGGTGAAATGTGTCAATTAACTGATTGTTTCTAATAAATGATTATACTGTGTCCCAACCGAAACACGTTCCATTGTGCGCATTCCCACCAATTTGAATTACTGATGTAGTAAGATCACAATCGTTAACAGCTGTTTAGGGTGTATTATAACAGTATTATAATGTATCCTCGAAATAGTGTGTTTCACTTGTTTGAATTTGTTTGACAACTGTTGTATACTTCCTAAGATTTTGTAGTTTTGTCGTTATTTTTTTGTTGTTTATTTTTTTTAAAAATGAACACAATCATCGGTAAATGATGCTTCTACAACTGCTGAACAAAACATTGATTTTTCAGAAATATTGTCACCCATTAGAAAAACTAAAAAAGAACGGGTAAGAATTTTTAAATTATTTTATATATATTGAATTTATACTTAATATTTTTTAATATAATATTTTTAAATATTTAGAATATTCTTAAATCGATATAATCTACGTGTGATCCGTTCAATATTACAAATTAAATTTATTTCAATTATCAATATACTGGTTTCAAATCCTGCTTTATTTTATCGTGTTAACGTATTATATGTATTATACTATTTATTTATTATTATTTCTTATATTATATTTAAACATTGTATTGTTCCAGTTTGTTGGAAGACTGCAAAAATTGATTATAATTAATTTGTATAAGACGAGAAAACAAGAACAACCGGATATGAAGTACAAGGAATTGATGGCATCTCTTTCAAGAGACATCGGAATTGGAATTGGAATGTGTACAGTGACAAGTACAATTAGCGATTATAAAAAAACTGGTAAATTCACGTCACCATGTAAAAAAATACCGTCCAATAATCCTTGAAAAAATTGTTCAAGTTGTCAATGATGATCCAGATCTTCCGAATATATCTTCTACATCTTTGCGACGGGTATTGAAGGAACTAAATTTCGAATACACCAAAAGAAGCCGGAACAGCATATTAACGGAAAGAGGAGATCTCGTTGTATGGTGACAGAAGTATATTGAAGACATACGGCGTTATCACAGTGAAGGTCATACAATATACTTCCTCCACGAAACCTGGGTAAATGCTGGTGAATGTAACAGTAAAGTATGGATTGATACTTCGGTGAAATCGCATAGAGATGCATTCGTGACGGGACTATCTACAGGTCCAAAAAATCCATCAGGGAAAGGAAAAAGACTAATAGTTGCTCATATCGGTTCAGCAGATGGGTTCGTCGAGGGTGGTCTGTTGAATTTCGAGTCAAAAAAAAATTCAGCTGACTACCACGACGAAATTAATGGAGACACGTTTTATAAATGATTTTGTGGAGTTTTGCCCTGATTGAAGGACAATGCCGTTATTGTCATGGACAATGCATCATACCATTCGGTAAAAAAAGATCCAGTACTTACAATTTCTTGGAAAAAAAATTATATAATACAATGGTTGGAATCTAATGGTGTTGTTATCGATAAACCGATGGTTAAATTTCATCTCATTGCAAAGGTAAATGAAATTAAACCTATGTATGAAAAATACGTAATTGATGAAGAAGCCTTAAAAACAAATAAAGTTGTATTGCGTTTGCCTCCTTATCACTGCGAGCTAAATCCTATAGAGCTCGCATGGTCTGTAGTGCAAAATCACGTAAAACAAAACAATACAACTTTCAAGTTAAAAGATGTTCAACAGTTATTGTATAAAGGAGTTCAGAAAGTGATGACTGACATGTGGGCTAATTTCGTAAGCCACACAATAAAAGAAGAAGACAGATTATATGACATCGACTTCATTAGTGAAGACATGTTAGAATCGCATGTAATGACAATAACTGGTTACACTTTTTCCGATTTTTCTGATTAGCAACATATTTAAATTATTAATGTATATTTATGTGTATATACTAACCTAACCTAACCTACCTACTAACCTAAACCTAACCTATTATGTATAATAAATGGCAACTTGCAAGTCAGTAATTTTGTATTTGTATGTTATTGTAAAATATATTAAGAATATTTACGTACAAAATATTACGTTAAAAAAATATAAATATATAATATATTATCACTCTGTATGTATATACTTGTACTGCGCTGTATGCACGCCACAGCGTGATACTGAATCGCGCAAAGTGGGAGAAATGGGACCCGTAACAGTCGCTGCCGTCAGTGTGCATGCGCAAAACGGTTTACTTCTCTCGTGGTTTATAGTATAGTTTTAATATATTACTGGACTGGTCTGTCCCTATACATTTTGTTTCAATAACGTGATTGTATCAATTATCCGTGTTCCTTATAAGGAGCTTCTACTGTATTTACAATCTGTCATTTGGTTCCAATAAACATATGTACTTAGAATTTATATTGAGGCAATAAGTTATCCAGCAATAACACTCAACAAATCTAAAACTAAAGCTTAAAACCTGTTTATGGTTTAATCAAACTACCATTTTTTATTTTAAATAGATATTGGTTTTGTGAGTATTAGTTTCACAAAGCATTTAATTGGATTTGCTTGTTGAAAAATGCCGGTTTTTTTTATACTATATTATAATTTGTTTTTTTATTATTTTATTTAGATATAATAGGTGTTACAATGGTAGTAAATATGGATTTACCAAAATCCATTAATGAATATATGCATAGAATTGGACGTACAGGGAGACTGGGAAATTCTGGTAAAGTAGTTTCATTTTTTGATCCTCAATTTGATCAGAAAATTGCTCCTAGTTTAATCAATACTCTAAAACTGGTAAATTTAATTTTTATGTTCTAGTATTAATAATAATAATTGTTAATATAAATGAGTTAGCTGTACAAATTGCTTTAGAGGTTAATATTTAAAAAATATTGATTATATGGAAACTGTTAATAATTATGTTTTAGGCTATAATATTATTTAATAAATCTTTATAATAATTTATATTTTAGGCTGATCAACACATACCAGAATTCTTATTAAAATATAGTAATAGAGGAGAATGTGGCTCTACCAGTTCATTTGGGGATGTATGTGGAAAGGTATTATAATATATTTAATTGATTAACATAACAATTTATTTTTTTGATATATTATATGGAACATATTTTTAAAAAGATGGACATACTTTACATAATAGGTGAGACACCTAGGATAAGGTAGGATATAAAAGGATTGAAAGGTAAGATATAGAGAGGAATTTAATGTATAAATGTATACAATGATTAATCATTACTTAGGAAAAACGATTCTGAGCAGAGTTCATTTGTACATATTTTAAAAAGTTGAATTATGTACAATTTTCATCAAAATTTGATATTAAAATTCATAAAAACAAAACTACATGAAACTCAACATTTTCTTGTTGACCACTAAGCAAACTTATAATGAACCTATTGTCAAATTTTTAAACATTTTTGTTCAATTTAATAATTGTATACACGGAGTACTTTTTTTCCCCCATTGTAAATCGAAACTGAAGGATGACATCAACAGTAGTCATTACACACCATACACAGAGTACTTAGAAAATAAAAAAATTACATAAAACTAGACAAATTAAAATATCTCTAACTAGCTCAAAAATGACCCAAATATTTTGAAAAATGTATCATATTACCATTTACCTAATTTCAAGTCTACAGACATTTTTAAACAAAAAACTAAATTTAAAATAATAGAAAATATGAATGAAAATAAGTTGAACCATAATAGACATCTGAACAAGTACTGTACTATTCATGTACATATTTTTTTATTGGCCAATTTATTATATTATTTTTCATAAAATTATAAATATTATATTAAACTCAGTTTAGTTTATGAACCACTGCTTTATTCAATATGGGAAGCAATTGGTGCAAACATTTTTGGGAGGCAACTCTTATATAATTATGAAGCCACTAGTGTATATGAACTCGTACCCACTGGTGAATACCAATGTATTTTTTTGTGGGATTAATATTTGATTCCTTTTGTGATCCAATATTTTTTTACGTTTATAAGTAAATATTAAATTACTAGATGTATTGATCACATATTTGTTAAAAGCATTGATATCTTAAATACTAAATCTTTAGTATTGAAAACATATATTAGTAATCATTATTTAAGAGTTTTTATAATGTATTATGATAATAAGCTTAATAGAACTAACTCTTCTAAAAAAAAAAAACTGAAAATCGATTTTGTTCGACTAGATAGCTTACTTTCTAATCTAAGTTGGGATGAAATGTTAAATACTTACCTAGTTGATAAAGCATTGTAATATTTAACTTTAAAATTAAATATGTGAAATATGTTATTTGTGTTTAATTTTAATTATTTGTTTTTTCCCTAGAATGCTACAGTGACTTCTGAAATGTTTGAAAAAGAAGAAAAATGCTAATACCTTTTTCACTGGACTTGGTGAATATTGTAAAATAACTTTTCCATTCCAAAGAACAGCAGTATTTTAATAAAATGTTACAAACAAAAAACCAAATAATCTTTTTTTTACAATATTATCTACAGAATAAATGGTAATAATTAAGAATGTTTTTCCATTTAGTTAAATTTGATTTTGTTTGTTTTTAATCATTATGGAATGGTAGAGCTTTATTTTGCATTATTTATTCTTACTTCATATAACATAAATGGGCATATACTTTTGTTTTTCAAATAATAACCACCCCTTTTTGAACACAAATTTGAATAGATAATATTTTTCTTGAAATTTCGATATGCATAATACTAATGTCATGTATTGTACAGTTTTCATGCTTTTGAAATTGTATATAAATATTTTTAATATTAACTACTATACTATTAATAAATTAATATCATTTGACTGAAAATACCATGTAAGTAATACAATATATTTTGTTAGAAAAAGTACAATATGAAATCCATTTTCTTTCAACAATATTACCATTTCCACCTTTCGAAAATAAATGATTGTTTAGGATTATTTGCATTTGTTAATTGAATAGAATGATTTAAACATTTTAATTTAAATTAATTAATCATGCTGTCAATTTATTCGTAAAAATATAAAGGCATCAAACATATTTTAAAATCAACTTTAATATGTTTATGGTCTGTTTCAATGTCTGCACCTATTGATTTCAATTAATTATAAATTGTATTGCATAATAAAGTAAAAATAAAATTATTAAAATGGTTAATACTCGTAAATAAATATATAAATAAACAATTTATATATATATATATTTATGTATTGGAATTACAAAACATTTAATTCAATTATGGGTTAAAAGAAAGAAAAATGTTAGACTAATGGAAGAAGACAAATGAAATATATCAAAAAACCTAATAGATATTAACCCCTATGTACCTTCAGAATTTAGCCGCCAACCATTGGTTTTGGATGATATTGACTACTGGAATGCTATCGAATTAAGGTTTTTCCTGCTTTATTCTAGTCAAGTAATTTTAAAAAGAAAAATAAAAAAATAATTTTATACACATTTCATGTTATTAGTTTCTGGTGTTAAACTATTAATAAATAATATTACATATCTTAGCAAAAATGAATTTGCAGAAACACTTTTTAAAAAATTTATTTCTCAATATCCTTATTTATATGGAGATCACTTAATATCATATAATATACACAGTTTATTGCATCTCCCTATGTTTGTTAAAATGCATGGTCCATTAGACAGTTTCAGTTGCTTTAAATATGAAAATTACTTACAAGAAATAAAATTCTCCATTAAATGTTCTAGATATGCTCTTCCAGAAATTTTTAATAGGATTATTGAAAAAGAAAAATGTTTATAGTAAGCTCAATAGAATCTCAATATTCTAGAATATGTGAAAAAGAATCAACTATACATTTTAATCTAATTGATAAGCTTTTCAAAGAAATTATTTTAAATGATTTATCTATGAAAATAAATATTGAAAAGAAAAGCGATAAATATGTAAGCTTAAAAAATAACTATATTGTCAGAGTGAAACACATAGTAAAATAACACCATACATCTAATATTAAATTAATTGTGCAAAGATTTTTAAATTGTTCATCATATTATAATGACCCCTGTCAATTCCTCAGTTTTTGGTTCATTTATAGCAGATAAACAATATTCTGAATTTTTTTCAATAGGTCTTGATGAAATAAAGAATAAATGCTTTGTAATTCCAATTAGTACAGCTAAAGCTATTATTATGGATCTGACACATAGTCATATTGAATAATATACTTTTTTTATTTTATTTTTAACTAGTATACTTATGTAAAAATATAATTTAATGCATTTTAAAGTAGTAAACAAATATATGTACAATGTACATCATTCATAATTGTTTAGTATTTTAATATTATAATATAAATAAATTTTTATTATACTGTAGTTTGTAATAATTATATTTACATAGGTATACCTATAGTATACCTATACTACCTTTAATATTGATTATTGGTATTATACTTAATTTTAATTTATTGATTTTGTTCTCATATATCAAAATGTGTTCAACAATTTCTATTCTCCTTACTACAACTCTCCCCCTTCCAACACATACAAGTGGCTTATCTCGTCAACAGATTTAAATCAGACGGAAATAAAAAATGTTTTTAAACTTCATCTATGTATGGCATTTTCAATATAGGTTCTCATTTAAAAATCAAAAGTAAGTACCTAGCATCTTCACACGTTCACTCCCAAAAACGAAGTTGATAAAAATAATGAATAGGTAGGTATGTAACATTTAAGAGCTGTTTTTGTTTCTTAAATTGTCAAAATTTCCAAAAAAGTAAACACTTTTTGAGATAATGAGTATCTTATGGTTAATTGATCACTCTGTATAAGGGTGATTCAGTACCGTAATCCAGACATTTTTTTTTTTGGGGGGGGGGTGCACTATTCATTTTTATAATACCTAATTTTTAAATGATTAACTATACTATACCTACCAAAATAAATAACCAATAAAATACCAAAATTCGAGGGGAGGGGACACGTGCCCCCTCGTGTTCCCTTATTTAGAGCACTAATGACTGCTATTCAGTAGTGGTTCAGCTTGGAGTTAAATTTCCCTGTTCCCAAAAAAGTCCGAAATTTTGAAATTAACCTTACCCCTCAACGGATACATCCCCCACGCTGACTCAAAGAATCATAAGATAAGTCGTAAGTGTAAACTATTCTTATTGCTAAAAAAAGCACAATTTCGAGGTGTCACTGTATATATAAAATATATTTTGAAATCGATTTGTTAACTTATATATCCATGAATTGATAAATTTTTTTAGTTAGGTAGGTGTAGATTAGTAGGTTAGGCGGTACGTTATTAGCAGGGCAAGGATTTGTATGCAATAAAACATTGTAAAATATGCATTTTGTTTACCAAAATATGCAAAAATATGCATTTAAATTTTTATAAGATAAATACAAAAATATAGCTACAAAATGTATTTATTTATTGAAATACATTAGTGATTGGCTGTTTGTTTTAATATAATATTATTGAGAAATAAAATAAAATAAATTAATTTGGAAATAAAANCGTCCGATTCGCCATTTAATATTATATTTATTGTTTTTTGAGTTTTAAATCTTTTATTTTTTTGTAAAACCAGAGATATTTTGTTTTTAACTTTATCTGCGACTCTTCCGTTGCACTCAAAAATTCAATTCCTAGCATTTTTAATAATTTATAGACTTTCATAAAGTCTTTCTCCGTCAAACTATTCAATCTTTTATCGCATACCTATTGTACCATAGAATCGTATTTATAAAAATAAAATTTATGTTTGACAAAAAATCAAGTTTTTTACTTTAATTAGCAGGGCTAGAATTAAATACAAAATATTAATATTTAATTATAAATATTAATTACGAAATATACTGTGAAACATGCATTTTTCGCATTCTTATAGTCAAAATATGCAATAATATGCATTTTATCCAAAATATGCAAAATAAAAACACCGCCACTTATCTCATCATGAAGTGATTCGTGGAAATTACTGACAAAATCAATAATCAGATGTCACAATAAAAATCATGCTGTTGCATATAAATCCTAGCTCTGGTTATTAGGTTAGGGTTACAAGTTCAATACCCGGTGGCGTATTCAGATTTTTTGCTTTTTTATTTCTTGTATTTTTAATATTTTGTTTATTATTTGGGAATATTGTCGAGTTGTTACATTTTCATGTGATATAAACATTACATTGGAACAGCTGTGCGATGTTTTCTGAGTGTCTTCTGCGATGAGCATTAGCAATCGCATACATATTTCAACAACGTTACTTCAACCTAAAATATAATGTTCCAGGTTCCCGTTTAATATCGCATGCATATGTATGGAATATATCTTTGCACACTAGGTAAGTCTACCTTGTTTAATTTTTGTTATTTTTAAATAATGGGCGATTTACATAGTGTTTTAATAATTTTTTTTGATTTATGCATTCAAAAAAATTTGTTGAAATAAAATTTCGGATTAATTGTTTTCATATTATGGCATAAAGAAAAATTATATTTTTCAATGAATTTTACATTTATGGATCTTGGTTTATCTGCTTCATTGACGTTTTTTTTCTAACTTACGTTTCTATATCTATTCTAATTGTAATATGGTACTTATATGGTGTATAAGCAATGAAATGGATAAGTGCAATAAAATTATATATATATATATTTTTTTTTGAATTATTACTACTATCATGCTTGTTTTAGTTTTGCATGTGTGTTTTATCTATGCTTATATGTTATATTATACATAAACCTATATTCAGCCAGTTAGAAAACTCGATTATATAATTAATTTTTAGTTTTTAATTGTGTTTTTTTTTTTTTATGTATATGCATACATATTATAATCTAATATCATAATAACTGTTTTGTCAAATATTATTTCTCTTCATTAATAATAAAATAACCTGTTGACAAGCCACTGGGTAGGTTAAGGTATTCCAGCCGTTTGTTGTTCAATTTTGGCCTCTTGCAGACCTTATTCTCTTTGTAACATAGGTGTGACTAAACTTCATCCGTAGCGGCAGCCTAACTAATGACCGGCACTACTTAATAAACTGAAAAAATTCCCCATGGAGGAAGGTTAGCCCCCCCTATAATTAAATATTTATATAATTTATACAAATCTGTATCATTTATTTAAAATTATTAATGTACAGTATTTTTAGTACCTTTAAATTTAACTACGGAAATATTCATATACAGGCCTGGATTACACCGCCATATAAGTAATCAAAAAAATATATGATGTGTTAGTATATAAAATGATAGACTATAGAGAATAAAAAATGATATTTTGTTATTATAACAAAATAACAATTGTTTATTATAAGAAACTAATATAAGTAATTTTTTTTAAAATAAAAGTTGTAATAAGCCACTAGACATATAATTCGGTTGATTGGTGTCAACAATTGCAGGAACAGCCCACCGTAGATACCCCTAAGCTCAAAATCGATTTTTTTTTTTTTTTTATAATAATTTATCGTTAAATACAGTATTATGTAAACTCAAATATCCAGTATATCTTACAGGTATGCACCTCTTACCTTTGTTATTTTATTTTCAGAATTTGCTAGTTTTCTAAAACGCGATAAATTAAATTTTAAATTTGTCTTTTTAAACTATTTAAACTTGACGCAGCACTGGCACATTGTCTGATCGGCTCGAAAGTGGTGTTAAAAAATTGCTAGTAATTTGCTAGATTTTGCTAAGTCATTCTTGGAATTTGCTACGATTTGGTTTTTCTGAAAAATTAGAAACAAATTCCAAAAATGGCCAAGCAAAATCTAGCAAATTCTTAACAATATCTATGCATCTATGGCTGTGCTCGTTATCCAGGTTTTCTTCAAGAAAACCCGGACCAGAGTGATTTTTACAATAATATTTTAATCATCTTTTAAATTTGTATAAAATAACCTCATTAGCCTGCATTGAAAAAAATATTTTGTCATAGGAAATAAAATTAACTAATAATAACTAGGAAATTTTGTTGGCTCAGGGACAACAATACTTTTGGTTATATTTGCAAATAAATTTTGTTAATCATTATTCGTAGTAGGAACAAATTAACAAGTTATTAATACAATATATGATTCAGTATTATATACAGAAAATATGAACTTGCTACTGAATAATTCTGTAATTCGTATGAATCTGTAAATAAGTGTTACAAATATATTTCGTGGGTGCAGCAAAACATAATGCACGTTTTATAGAACAGTGTGGTTGAATTTGATTCCGTTTTGATGTGTTTACTATAGAAAACAGTTAATTATAAAATTGTTTTTAGTTGAAATTACACTTAACACTGTTACCCTTACAGATCATTCTGTGAGTTATAAAATATTAGTTTCTATATAATTACCATGCATTTAGTAATTACAACGTTTCTAATTAGGTCAATACACAGTGAAATAAATAAAATAGTAATAACTGTTGTGAGATTGATTTATAATCCGTTTATTTTACATTATACATTTAAATAAAAGAATTAGTAAAATAGGTACATTATGGTAGGTATAAAAATTATTAGGTTACAATTTTCTGTATCTATAAAAGACTCCTCATGGTTATATATCTATTCCCGTTTGACATAATATTTAATATATTAGGTATAGGTGATAGAAATGCATCCAGGAATAAAAACATTACGTGTTTGTTTTTGCATATAAAAAATACTTAGGCATATTTCAAAACTAAAAAAAAAGATTAATATACTTACAATGTTATATTCACAAAAGGACTTAGTCTTAATGACTACTTAATAAAAACTTTAAATTTCTTAATTTAAGAAAA